TGTTATCGTAACTATCGTTGCCTTCTCCTGACATGTTTTCCACAAAGCCAAATTTCATGTAAAAGCCTTTAGAAATAATCAACCTAAGTTAGCATATTTCTTTCAGCACTTTTTGCAAAAAACGCCTAGAATTGGTCACATTTTAAGATTATAAAAAGCCAATCAAAAAACTTGTTTTCTTCATACAGCATCTAAAACATTTTAAAGAAAAATCAAGACAGTAATCAAACTTTATTTTAAAACAGATTTAGACAAGTTGGACATCCATCATCCAGCAAGGCAGATCTGAGTTGTAAGGCATGTACACTTACGTTTCGCTATCGATGTTGTTTATCATAGGAAAAATATTTTCAAAGAATGTATCGAAACATCGCACATCTTTTAAAATATAAAAACCTATCAAAAATGGTGTTTTTTTCCAACACTAAAATTTTTTTTAACACCAAATCAAAAACTTATCAAAGCCGTTCAGACTTCATGCTTCAGTATGGAGCTCGAAAAAGCGTTGCCTCAAAAGTATCAAAACCGCTTCAGACTTTACGAGACCCAAAAAACATCTCTATCTCATCAACTCTAGTTGATTTAGAAAGTTTTCAGCACGATTCCAAACAGTTTTTCAAAAGTTATTGCAGGACACCGACTCATCAGATTTGAGTATAAGGCTTCAGTATGGAGCTCGAAAAAGCGTTGCCTCAAAAATTTATAAAAACCGCTTCAGACTTTACGAGACCCAAAAAAAGATCTCTGTCTCATCAATTCTAGTTGATTTACAAAGTTTCAGCCGATTCCAAACAGTTTTTCGAAAGTTATTGCGGGACACCGGCACATCAGATTTGAGTTATATGGCTTCAGTATGAAGCTCGAAAAAACGTTGCCTCAAAAATTTCTCAAAACCGCTTCAGACTTTACGAGACCCAAAAAAACATCTCATCTCATCAATTCTAGTTGATTTACAAAGTTTCACCGGATCTCAACAGTTTTCGAAAGTTATTGCGGGACACCAACTCATCAGATCTGAGTTATAAGGCTTCAGTATTGAGCTCGAAAAAAGCGTTGCCTCAAAATTTATCAAAACGGCTTCAGACTTTACGAGACCCAAAAAAACATCTCTATCTCATCAATTCTAGTTGATTTACAAAGTTTCAGCCGGATCTCAACAGTTTTTCGAAAATTATTGCAGGACACCGACTCATTAGATTTGAGTTATAAGCTTCAGTATGGAGCTCGAAAAAGCGTTGCCTCAAAAATTTATCAAAACCGCTTCAGACTTACAGACCCAAAAAAACATCTCTATCTCATCAATTCTAGTTGATTTACAAAGTTTCAGCCGATTCAAACAGTTTTTCGAAGTTATTGCGGGACACCGGCACATCAGATTTGAGTTATATGGCTTCAGTATGAAGCTCGAAAAACGTTGCCTCAAAAATTTCTCAAAACCGCTTCAGACTTTACGAGGACCCAAAAAAACATCTCTATCTCATCAATTCTAGTGATTTACAAAGTTTCAGCCGGATCTCACAGTTTTCGAAAGTTATTGCGGGACACCAACTCATCAGATCTGAGTTATGAGGCTTCAGTATGGAGCTCAAAAAAGCGTTGCCTCAAAAATTGATCAAAACCGCTTCAGACTTTACGAGACCCAAAAAAGATCTCTGTCTCATCAATTCTAGTTGATTTAGAAAGTTTGAGCTGATTCCAAACAGTTTTTCAAAAGTTATTGCAGGACAACGACTTAGGTAAGTTTCTACTTGAGGGGTTTCCTCTGAGTTTGTTGTCGTTTTCTAAAACTGGCGTTTTTGCTGTTATTCGACCTAAATTAGAGATACTTGGTAACAAGGGTAGGTTTTTTGTTCTTCTTAGTCGATTTAGATGTTTCCCTTTAAGTGTTTCGCCGTAGGTCGCTTGAAATGAGGGCCTGCTACGACATCGCAAGGGTCGATCGTCATTTCAAACTTGGATCGTGTCAAAATATTTGGAGGTTTTTTCCTTATTCTAGCGATAATTTCACGTAGCTTCTTGAAACAACTACGAAAATCAACGGACAATCCAGCAAGGTTTCCGTCATTTAAAGGCTTTTTGGCTACTTGCTTTTCTCTTTTTATGCGAATCGATTAAAGTCCTAATGTCTATTTGCAATGAAATTTAGGCCGTGTCAAAAAATTTTCGACTTTTTTGCTCACCTTTGGAAGTATAGCGCATCTTATTATGAACAAGATACATGAATCAACAGAAAATCCAGCCAAGTTTCTCTCTATGAAATATCTTTTTAATATATTTTATAGTTTTTTTGTAAGAAGCAATCAAAGTCCGAATGTCTATTTTAATGTCTATTTGAATGTCTAAACGAATGTCGCACGCTAAATAGCAGAACTAACTATTGTCCCAATAACTTTTTAACTCTGCTCCTATATAGTTTCCTCCAATTATACACGATATTGAACACCATTTCATCACATTCTTTTTATTTTTTTTACTTTGGGAGAAATTTCTCAGTCCTTACCATACAAAACTTTTTACACACCCAAGCGAACCAAAACCATGAACAACCAGCTGTACTGAGAATCCATTTCTCACTAGACAATCAGATTGCTCCTTACATCTTCTAACTTTCTCCTGATGAGCATTTTTCAATTATGAATCATAACAAACAGTCATTTCAACTATTGTGCACTACCTCTGTATACGATTGAGAATGACTATGTCTGGTTTGAATGAACAATCTGCTTAATCCTTTCTCTAAATTCTGGAAATATGGTTTCTGCTAACAAGTTGGATGAAAATCTTGCCCTTGGCCTATTTTCCTTTATGAATTCTGCAATCTTATTCACAATTCGATCATGGTGATGTGAATAGAAATTCTTAAACCCATTGCAACCGTTTAATATGTAAGCTACAGACACTGTGTGTCTATGACAGAACAGGCATTCCTGATTGTGATCTCTATTCCACAGATGTAGGGTAAAGTTGGTGGGAAGAATACTAAGCCTCGCTTTGATTGTAAAAATCACAAGAGCATCATCAACTTCCCAATTATAATAGATCGAGTGTGACGATTTTGTATGAATATTTTCAAGATTGAGATAACATCCTTGCACAGTTAATTCTTTTCAAGATTCCATAGATATACTAAAATACGTGGGGTACAATATGATGAATTTGAAATTACGATCAATGTAAGTAAATTGTACCAGGAAAATTTTTTTAAAAATAATTAACGACGTTTCGAGCATAGCCCGTTATCAAGTGAGATAGAAAAGCCATGATAGAACTAAAAAACGTTAAAGGAATATGGAATTCGACGAATGGAATAGGAAGACGGATGTAAGAGCATGGAAAAGAAATATATGGAAAAAGCTAATAAAAATAAATATATATATAGATATAATAAAATAGAATATATACTAGAAATGAGACATGTTCTCCGTTACTCCGAGTTTCGTGCTTACGCACTCATCAGACAGACTATAATGAAGAATATTCCTGTTACCGCGGCATAAATATACAAAAGGTGTGATAAAGTTAGACAAAAGAAATTTTATTTAATACAGGTTAATTAGTTAGGTGGAGTTCTATTGTTCATGAGATAAAACTTGTTTTCGTGTCGGCATTTGGAGATTAATTCGGATCGTTTGTTTAGAAGGGTGTTGTTATTTGCTTTGATGATGTATAGTTTTTCTGTTAAGCATAGGTCACACCTTTTTGTAATGTTGTTGTATGGTTTGGCTGAGGTGATGATGGTCCATTGTATGTCATAATCCTTGTTTTTGTCTTTAAGTTCCCAGATGTATTTTCATAGTTCGGTACTGTTGGCGTATTTTCGGTTGCGGAATGAGAGTTTGTGTTGTGTAAATCGTTGTTTGAAGGTTCCTTCTGTTAGGCCAATGTAGTTTTTGCTGACAGTGTCTTCGGTTGTGGTGATATGTGCGTTGTAGATGATGCTGGAAGAGAGGCAGTTGTTGTCTAGTGGGCATTGGTCTTTTTTTCGGCAGTTGCATGTTTTCTCGTTGGTAGTGGTGGGATTGGTGTTGATAATTTTCTTGTTGTGTTTGTTGATGATAGTTTGCATATTATCCATACAGCTGTAGCTGACTTTAACGTTGTTCTTGTTGAAGATCTGATGGAATTTGTGGTTCTTGGGGAAGTGTATGTGTATGAGCTTGAGGAAAGTTCTGCCGATGTTAGTTTGTACATTCTTGCTGTATGGTGGGTTGTACCAGATTATGTTGCGCTGTCTGTTTCTTCTTTTACGTGTGGGTGATGTGTGGTCGTTGTATTTTAGGGTGTCGGGGTATCCACTGGCTTTTAGGGCGTTTTCGTAGATGGGCTTGGCTTTGTTGAATTCACTTTCGTTGCATGATATGTCAGTTATTCTACGGTTGATTGCTCCAGGTAAGTGCTTTATGATGTTGGGGGGATGGTTGGACTTTGTATTGATGTATAGTGGCTGGTCGTTGGGCTTTCTGTATGGACAATACGATTGATTTGTTAGGTTTAGTGTTACGTCGAGGTAGTTCACAATTTTTAGGTATGGTCTGTATGGTGATGTTGAGGCCGTGAGTCTTGAAAAGTTTTGTAATGTCCTTCCTGATTCTCTCTGCTTGTGGACCAGGGGTGTTCTTAAAGATAGCGAGTCCGTCGTCTCTGTATCGACCTATGTTGCCTTTTCCGTATTTTGCACCCAGCTTATTGAGGATGAAAAGACCAACCAGTTCACAAATTTCCGCGCCGTCGAAGCTCCCCATAGTCACATCGAACATGTGGCTGTCTTTTTTCGTCCATGTATTTCCTTTGCTGAATAGGAGTGATTTGCGAGCATGCATTATGATGTTGGTATCCTTTTCGGTGATTTTGCAGTATTTCTTGGCGAAGGAGATAGAGTCTGTAAGGAGTTTTTCGGTTATTGAGGGGTAAAAGTTTTCAATGTCGAAGATAACAAATGTATGTTGATGCTTGTTTGGTATGCTGTTGAACCAGTTGATTACAGACGAAGTGTTTTTCCATTGGTTTAGGGTAGTTTGGTTTCTGATGGTCGTGTTGATTCTGTCAAGGATCTGTTTGCTGATACGGCCTATTTCACTTTTTGCGGGGTTGATTAGTCTGCAGGTGGGGTTGTTCTGGAAGTTTTCTTTATGGTCTTTTAGAGTTATGAATGCTTGTCGTTCTGCCATACATTCTGTTCGGTCTTGGATGTTGAGTTCAGTGGCAATGTTCCATGCTTCGTTGTTTATTGTGTGGATGGCGCTGTCGTTTGCTTTCTTGTAGGTTGTGGTTATGCTGTTAGTTAGTAGTTTGTCATGTAGTTCACTATCCAGTTTGTAGTAGTTGGTTGTTTTGTCAGCGGGGATGAAGGCTTTCGTGGAGGCGTTGATCTTTTTGATGTCTTCGCGTAGCTGGTCTTGAAATTGGTCGTGTGTTTTCCTGAATTGGATGTGCTTGATCATGTTGAGTAAATCAGACTCAAATGCATCTAGGTCTTCGTTTTGTGGTGGACATTTTCTAGACTTGAATCCGAATGTTTTGTTTTGGTCCTCGGTTTGTTGGTCGTCTTCCTTTGGCTTTTTGTGGAAGAAGGCTTTCCATCTCATACGCTTGATGACACTTTCAGTTTTCTCGATAAGTTTCTTTATGTAGCTGTTTCTTGGCGGTATCAGTATATTTTTCATTGAATAGTTGAACCTTGTCTGTTCCATTTCTTGCGTTTCAGTGTTCGACAAAAGTGCTCGACTTTGCAGGAGCGTTAATATTCCAGATTGCGTTGTCTATTCTGACGTGACAGTGCTCGATGTGCAAAAGCACAGAGCAATAGATATAATAAAATAGAATATATACTATCATCAGACAGACTATAATGAAGAATATTCCTGTTACCGCGGTATAAATAGAGAGTTTAAGCACACGCGACGATAAGGATACCGATAACAATAGAACCTACCGTCATCGTTTCCATTATGGTTGTGGTAAAACTAAATTAAGCACAAACAACGGTAGGGAGCGGCGACCTGACGCAATAGAAGGATTTCGTGAGAATGACACACTTCCTTGTTTACGACACGAGATATGTTTTAAAAGCCTCGAAAAATCCCCTTCTAGAGTTAAATAAAATATGGCTGAAAACAATATTAACGACGCTCTGGCAATCGCTCATAACTTAAATGTAATCGATGACGAAGAACTGGCTCTTTTAGAATTTGAGAATAGGCCGAAGCCTTATCTGGAGATTCCATATTGGCAGTACAAAAAATTTGACCTTGATGAAATGACAAATGACGAGTGTAAAGGCGAGTTCAGATTTGAGAAAAGAGACATTTTTAATTTACAAGAAATTTTTCATTTCCCAGAAGAGATAGTAACATACAACAGAATTAGAGTCGACACTACGGAAGCTATCTGCATATTATTGAAACGTTTTGCCTATCCATGTAGATATATGGACATGATCCCAAGATTTGCTAGGCCAGTACCTGAAATTTGCGTGATTTTTAATACTTTGATGCGAATGTTTTATGAGCAGTGGGGTTTTTTATTGAATTCTTTCGAGAGAGAAACACTATCGCCAGTGAATCTTCAAAGATACGCAGATGCAGTGCACGAAAAAGGAGCACCTTTAAGAAACTGCTGGGGATTCATTGATGGAACTGTCAGACCAATCTCCAGACCTGGCATTAACCAGAGAGTCCTTTATAATGGACATAAAAGAATCCATGCAATAAAATTCCAATCTGTCGCTACTCCAGACGGTCTTGTTGCTTTTCTACATGGTCCATTTGAAGGAAGAAGGCACGATAGTGGAATGCTACGAGAATCTGGCCTTTTGCAATTACTCGAGCAGCATTCTGTTTCTCCAAATGGTGATATTATGTGCATTTATGGAGACCCTGCATACCCCCTTAGGCCACATCTTCAAGCCCCATTCAGAAATGCAGATCTGAGAGAAAGGCAGCACCTGTGGAATCAACGGATGAGTGCAGTCAGAGTCAGCGTGGAATGGTTGTTTGGGGACATAATAAACTATTTTAAGTTTTTAGACTTTACGGTAGTACTACGTCAGAATTTTTTCAGCTTGAACCACCAAATATTGTAAATTATTTTCAGCATCCATGAATCAAATAAAAACAATTGCAATAAAAAAGTTACTTCTAACAGAGTTTGTACTCTCTTATAATCTCTTTGCTTTTGAGGGTGCTCACGATTGACATATACACTTACCAGGGGGGGGGGGGCACCAAAGAGTTGATGTGATTTTTGAGGAGAGTAGAGGGGTATCACAAAGTTGACAACAATCTTCGCATTACTATTATTATATTTGTGACTATTTCTTATGAATGTGATTCAAATGCACCTATTAAATAAAAGTGAAAATTTAAAACCCTTTTGCCTATGACAACAATAAAGGAACATTGATTTGCAAGGAGAACAATGTAATAAGAGATTTGTAGATTCACTTATCAGTATGTAAAAGTAGATAAACAGATAACTATAGACAAAAGTTGGAGCAAGAGAAAATTTTATAATATGATTCTTACATATGACTATATATGAAAATGCGGGTGAAAATAAAAAAATTAATTCTAAAATTATTGTGTAGCATTAAAATGCTGCATCAGTGTCATAATTAAACTGTTCTGATGCTGCAACTGTACGTTAATTTGCGCCAACATCTCATTTTGCCTTTCCAACTGATTTTCGATGGCTGTCAGACGCTTCTCCTCCCTTTCTCGCTGCCAGGACCTCTCTTTCTCCGCATCCTCTCTCTTCTTCTCTTTCTCCTCCAATGTACGCTCGTTCAACTCAAACTCCTTTTTTTTCCATTCAATATCAATTTTTATTTTTTCGTTCAAAAACTGGAATGTGTCACTTCCAGTTCTCCTCGCCCTTTTCTCCTTTCCCTTTCCAGCGTCACTTGATTTTCTCTTTGCTGACTCTCCCATACTCTCCATCGACAGTCTTCGCATCTCCAACCCTTTCTCGGCATCTAAAGCCACCTTATTAGCTTTCTCTTTTGCTGAATTTGCTTCCTCTAAATTGGCTGTCTCAAAAAGTTCAATAAGCTCATCCAAAAGTTTTTCAATATCAGTAATATCAGGTGATATACTGCTGGCCCTTTCTTCCTCTCTATTTTTTGATTTCCTCTTCTCGAAGAGAAATTGAAACCGCTCTCTAGTGGACCTCTGGTTTGTTCCAAACACAGGACATTCTATTAAGTTTAATGTATCTGCAATTTTCTTCCATTTATCCCCTCTCTCTGCACTGCCAGCCCTCGTCAACCAAATTTCCGAATTTAATACTTCTCGTAGTAAAAGCTCATCATGGGCACTTGTCCACTTAAATCGTTCCCTTAAAAACAATTTTAAAAACAGGTAATAAAATTTTCAGTGTTAACCCTAAAGTTTTCAGGGAATCTTGTTAATTACTCTTGATGTTAATTTTAACTGTTGGTGCGGTTGGCCTATTAAACAATACCCTCAGAAAAAATACATGGTGATTACTGCAGGCAAAGCTAAAAGAATTACTTTAGCAAAAAAACATTAATCAGGCAAGTTCTTGACTTTCACTACTGAAATCAGTAGCATTTCAGTAAAATCCTGTAGCTTCAAACTACGGACATGGATCTTACAACATTCAACAAATTTGCAGGCCTGTTTTCATCATGAAAAAAAACTACAAATTGTTTAAAACAGTAAGAAACTCACAACTTACCCATTAGATTTTTTGTTTGATGATGAGGAAGCCATTTCCAGTTAAAAATCCGCAAAAAATGCAAAGCAATTCAACATACAACCCTATCGTTGTCAGAGAACGATAGATCTGATTTCTAACGATGAGTGAAAACGATAACGGAAGGGGAATCTCCTATGACACGTGCGCACTAACAAGATTAGGCTGCCTATGGTTATCGTTATGGTTATCGTCGCCTGTGCTTAAACTGCCTAATATACAAAAGGTGTGATAAAGTTAGACAAAAGAAATTTTATTTAATACAGGTTAATTAGTTAGGTGGAGTTCTATTGTTCATGAGATAAAACTTGTTTTCGTGTCGGCATTTGGAGATTAATTCGGATCGTTTGTTTAGAAGGGTGTTGTTATTTGCTTTGATGATGTATAGTTTTTTTGTTAAGCATAGGTCACACCTTTTTGTAATGTTGTTGTATGGTTTGGCTGAGGTGATGATGGTCCATTGTATGTCATAATCCTTGTTTTTGTCTTTAAGTTCCCAGATGTATTTTGATAGTTCGGTACTGTTGGCGTATTTTCGGTTGCGGAATGAGAGTTTGTGTTGTGTAAATCGTTGTTTGAAGGTTCCTTCTGTTAGGCCAATGTAGTTTTTGCTGACAGTGTCTGATGACAGTGACATGAATAATAGAACTCCACCTAACTAATTAACCTGTATTAAATAAAATTTCTTTTGTCTAACTTTATCACACCTTTTGTATATTTATACCGCGGTAACAGGAATATTCTTCATTATAGTCTGTCTGATGAGTGCGTAAGCACGAAACTCGGAGTAACGGAGAACATGTCTCATTTCTAGTATATATTCTATTTTATTATATCTATTGCTCTGTGCTTTTGCACATCGAGCACTGTCACGTCAGAATAGACAACGCAATCTGGAATATATATATACATATATATATATACATATACGCAAATACAGAATTTATGTATATGTATATATATAAGTACTAATATGAAGAAAAGAAAAAGCAAAGAAAAAGGAGGGGGAGGGGGGGGGGTTATTGAAGATACGTAAACTGTTTATTAAGTCCAGAAGGATATAAAGTTACAAGTTTAAAAATTATCCGTTTTTCCAGTGACTTTCTCTTTGCACTGTCCGTTTGGGCAAACAAGAGGCCAAGAACTACCATGTTATCTTCTGTGTGATTCGCCAGGTGAAAATGTTTGGAAATGTTGCTATCAGGATCACTGTCATGTTTGTTGTTGAGGTGGATTTTGTTCCTGACATTACGTAAATGCTCACCAAACCTGTTGTCAATCTGGCTTGATGTTTCACCAATATACAGAACATTACATTTGGTGCAAGAGATGCAGTATGTGACATATGAGGAAGACCAGGTAAAGCTTGATTTAACAGTAAATGACTTGTAACCATTAGAAAGGTGGTAGATGGGTTGATGTGGTTGCAGGTTTGACAGAGGTGGTGGTGGCATAGTAAGGTACCAGGAGATTCAGGTGAAAAAGGTTGCTGCGTACAAGGTAGTCTTTGATGTTTTTATCCTTTTTGTAGGTCAACAGAGTTGCAGCTTTGAATATTTTCTTTGTAATTGAGTCGTTGTGTAGAATGGAGAGGTTTTTGTATATAATTTATTTAATTTGTTTGTTGAGTGGGTGGTAGGTGAAAGCAAAAGCTATAGGGTTATCAGAATTTGTTATGTCGACCAGTTTAAGGGCCTCATCCTGAGTGATGTTGTTGACTTTAGCGATAGCAGACATAGTTATCTTTTCAGGATAATGATTGTGATGGAAAAAGGATGTCATTTTTTGAAAATCATCGTTGCTGGAGAAGATGCAGCAAAGACGACGTAGCTGAGAGTATGGAATGGAATTTCTGCATTTTTGAGGATGGGAACTCACAGAGACAAAACAGGAAACTCAAAGAGACAACGCAGAATGGCTAACAGAGTTGAGAAATAACAAGGTAGAATGTCAGCAAGAAAAATTTGAAATTACAGTAGAGATGGTTACACAACAATGCAAAAAGCTCCCTAATTGGAAAGCACCAGGACCTGATGGGGTCCAAGGATTCTGGCTCAAGAATATGCATAGTCTACATAACCGGATAGCAACTCAGATGAACGATATCATTAACAATAACATAAGTATACCTGAGTGGATGACGAAAGGTAGAACTGTACTATGCCAGAAAGACCCAGCAAAGGGTAACGAAGTAGGAAACTCGAGACTGGGATTGTGTCGAAGAAGATATACAGTTACTTTGAAGCAAACAATATTCTACCTAACGAACAAAAGGGATGTAGAAAAAAAAGCAAAGGAACAAAAGATCAGCTTTTGATTGATAAAACGATCCTAAGGGATTGCAAAAAGAAGCATAAGAACCTTGCTATGGCTTTGATCAATTGCATAAAGGCCTACAACATGGTGCCGCATTCCTGGATATTAGAAAGTATGAAGCTGATAAACATCTTGGAAAGTGTTATTAAGTTCATCCAAGGGTCCATGTCAAAGTGGAAGCCAGAGTTGACAGCTTGAGGTGAGTCTATAGGGGAGGTTTATATAAAGAGAGGATTTACCAAGGAGATAGCTTGTCACCACTGTTGTTTTTTATTTGTATGGTGCCATTATCTGATGTATTGAGAAAAATGACACAAGGATATACCCTAGGGTCTGTAAAAACAAACCACTTATTGTTTATGAATGACCTGAAGTTGTACTGCAAGATCGAAAAAGAAATTAACAGTATGGTCTCAACAGTCTACTCAGTAAGTAAGGATATTGGAATGGAATTCGGTTTTCAAAAGTGCGGAGTGTTAATAATGAAAAGGGGAAACCTGTAAAATCCCAGGGGATAAAGCTAAGTGACGAAGTTGTGGTTAATGTAGGAGAAGATGGATATAAAGCTTAAAGAGACTGTTGAGTCTCTAATAGTCATGCGTACTTCTTTTCCTTTTTACACTACCTCTCACATGCATTGCCACTGACAGCCTAATTGCTGGCCCTAGGTCAGCTTTAGGTCCTCATTCAGTCTAGCTGTACTAATGAGCCCTGAAATGGGGTGAAACCGGTCTACAGCCGACTGTTTGAGGTGTCAGTGGCTTTCTTTACTTCACACATGGATATAAATACCTTGGTATTTTTGAATGGGATAAGAATCAGGAAAGGAATTATGGCACTCTTGTATTTCCAAGGCTAATCTTAATATTCAACCGTAGGGCCACTCTTGTCTTTTCAAGGCTTATCTTAATATTCAACCATAGGGCCACTGGCAAGCCCGCGTAGCGGGCTTCATAGGGGAGCTAGTCTTCTGTTAATTGTAAGGTGCATATTTTCAATTTGATACATTACATTTGTCATGTAGAGGCAGGGTTGAAAGTTGCCTAAAAACATTTTGGAAGCCCCGATCCATTTGTGGTCCTCGTTTAACTACTTTCACGTGTTACCCTCTTAATTTCTCCTGTTTATTCTAATTGCAATGTTTCTAAGTTTCCATCTTTGTTTATCTATTGATGAATCGTTGAAATACTTTGCAGGCTTATCTAAAAGCTCTGCTAATTATTCTGAATTCTACTTTAAAGCTTGACAACAACATGCTTCTGCCAGCCCCCACCAATTATTAATCCTCGTTGACACAATTTCATTCCTAAAAGTTCTCCTATTTAGTCAGAATCAAATTTTAAGGTTCTTCAACAAATTTAAAAATTTTTTAGTTGTACACTCGTAGCCCTTGTCGACTTAAGGGGCTTTTTTAAATATTTTCTAATGTCATTCTTAGAGCTGTAATGTTCATTTTAATGCACTTCGTTCAATCTTTGTTCACTTGTGATGCTGTTTTAAGACATAATTGCGGGCCACCCTCAAAGCTCCCTGTTTATTCTGAATCAAATATTAAAATTTTCCAACACAATATTCCTGTTAGCCGTTATTTTCATGGTGCTCGTTTAGATAAATATCATCTGAAAATTTCTTAAGAAAAAAAATTCCTAAAAAAGTATGTTGATTCATAAAAATGTTTAATGATTTATGATCTAAACTCCAAAGAATTAAAATAATTACAAACTTTTTTCATTTGAGGGCCTGGTATCATATCTTCGTCACAATTAGCTTTGAAAACACTGCAGCAACAAAGCACTTAAGAAATTGAAAGATAGAAAACAGCAAAAGTTTCGTGCATCAGAAAGGGTTCTTAAATCTTCATAAATTTAGTCATTTTCTCCACAGTCATGGTTGTTTCTTGTTTCTTTGTTCGATTAAACGCCAGCATCAATGTCATAAATTTCCTTTCGAAGGTCCGAGAATCACGTCTGTGTCATAATTATTGCTTGAAACACTCTTTGGTCTAGATGAAGAACAAAAAAATAATGAAGATATTATTCCATGGTTAATGAAATCGATGGTCATAATGCTTTGTAAAAATTTCAGAAAAAACGTTCGACCCGAGAGCTTAGCCACCCTTTTAACGACAGGTTTTTAGTGTAATTTCATCAAATTAAGCATAAAATCGTTTGAAATTGTTCTTGTTAAGCAAACAATACGGCAAATCCATTTTCCTTTAAGGACAAAACTACAAAGAGGTAAAAATTTAAGAGAAACATGTTTGTGACGGGTCTAGCGACTCCTTTTAGCAACCGGTTTTTAGTATAATTTCACCCAAATAAGCAAAAAGTCATTTGAAATGATTTCTAGAATGATTCACTTACAATTGCGAAAATGCTCTCAAATCTATAAATAATTTTAACTTGAGAGACAGGCAAATCCTATTTGTCTCTGTGGGAAAATCTTCTAACTCATACGCTCCGCGAGCATTATTCAATTAGTTCGCTTTGATTACCAGTGTCTATTGTTCAAAATTCAGTCTCGCATTCCAGTGAAATGGCTTCTGCCTCTAAATATTTTACCTGTTGTTTCAAAATGACTTATAGCTCGGATTCTGCTCAAAATTAAAAAAAAAGAATTATAGAAAAGTTTTAGGTTAGAGGATGCTCTTTTAGGTTATTCAGCTTTGATTAACATAAGCCCTAACAATTTGCTGCGATTTCCAGTCAAAGTCTGAGACCAAGAAAGACGAGCAGAAAAAAAATCAAACGCAGTTTTCTTAACATAAATATATGGAACGATACAAAGAAAAAGCATATTTCAATAATTAGCAGATTAATAAGAAATAACGAGCACATAGAAAACAACTTACACACACATTAAACTACATGAAAGTCATGAAAACAGTCATTATTAAGAACGCAAAGGAACGTGTATTTCCCTTCCTCCATGTTGCTGCAGCCTGTGCATACGAAGCAGGAGTACCCATCCTTCTTGTTTTTTGTGCAGTTTTTGCATCTGGCTCGCTTTTCAACCTTTTTAGGCAGATGCTTTTCAGCCCCCAAGTCTGAATTGACTTGTCTACCGCGTTTTCGACCACTTCTGTTGCTGCCAAGGAGCTGCATGGCTAATTTTTTCCTGAATTCGAGGAGTGTCATGGTCTTCTCTTTCCCTCTCCGTGCAAACCGCTTATGGTTCGGCGAATCCTTCATCAATACGAAGGCATTGGAAATAGATAGGTCCACCAAAAACCAAAGGATATAGGTCCACCAACGCCAAGATTTTCTGGCACAGCAATAAGCCGTCCACATTTGGTCTGCTCTATCCACTACAGCCATGTTTTCGTTGTAGCTCCGAACAGGTGGTGGGCATGAGATTTTCTTGTAACTCCCATCCTTTTGCATTCTTTTAACGGATGTTTCTGCCAAATTCGGATTACGGTTAGAAGGAAGCAGCCTGAGAGGCTTTCTCCCCTTTTTTTCCTGCCATACTTTCGCAGTTATGCCATTCTTTTGCAATGTTTTCGATTCGCCTGGTTGCAACTTTAGGCCCAACTTCTTCCCTCTTATTAAACGCATCTCTTTCAACAGTGACTTGGCATTACTTTTGACAGTGCCGCATCCATAAATCCCATTTTTTAGGAGGTTTTCATGAAGGGCGACACAATTGAAATAGTTATCGAAGTAAAGATGGTGGTATCTGCCACAAATGTTTGTTGTCAAACCTTCAACAACCTTTCTTCCAAGTTCTTTCTCTCGGCCATGATTTCCTCCTGGCTTCCCAACGTAAACTTCAAACTCACAAACATACCCGTTCTTGCTGTCTGCCCGCTCCCAAACCTTGGTACCATATTAAGTTGGCTTGGCTGGCAAGTACTGCCTAAATGACAATGTGCCACAAAACTTTATCATCGCTTCGTCTACAGCATTTTCTCTGTTAGGACTGTAATTCCCCAAACACTGTTTGTTGACAACTTCCAAAAGTGGCCTAATCAAGTGGAGCTTGTCTCTGTTCGGATCTTGCCGATTATAGCCAGTGCGATCTTGTACATGGATATACTGGGATAGTTTTTCGAATCTATCCCTCGTCATGATCTCAGCAATGGCAAAATCACCATAAAATTTGTCCTGACTCCAGTACATTTTGAAATTCTGGCAGGTCAACCAATGACATGAAAATTCTTAGGCCAACAAAGCAGCGCATTTCATCAGGTGTTGTTGGGGACCAGTGCTCGTCTACCTTGTGTTGCTCCACCTGCAACTGTAAGGCATACAAATTTTTTTGCTCTGCCAAAATGCAGTAAATCTCTTCAGGGAAAATTTTCTCAAAAAAGTTTATTTCTTTGGCTTCACCAGCAAGAGTGAATGTTGCTCCGACATCCTCTGTTCATACAAATTCTGGGATGTAAACATCGCAAAGCTTTTGTGTCCATCCTTCGGCTACATCGTCATCGTCAGACAATTCTTGGCTTCCCCGAAGCTGAAAAACTCGTTGATAGAAAGGTCACTTTCCTCTGTGTTCTCCTTAAATTTTCCAAATTTATTTCTTCCGACAAAAACCCAAAAAATTCACTTTCTTTGTCGCTACTTGAATCAAAATAATTGCATGCAGCCATTTTGCATCGAAAGTTAAACAAACTAAACCTCTGAACTTTCAACTTTTGTTTTCTCCAGATTTCTGACCGTGACCTACCCAATCATTTACCACCATTTGAATCTACATTGTTCAAACTACAACATGGTATTGTCTGAATAACCAGACTGCTTTTAGAGAGAAAAATTCTTGGGAGAAAAATGACTGCTTTTAGCCAATCAGAGCTCATGTTGCTGCATGGCAACAGTCGGGAAACGGAGCGCAAATAAATTTGTTGCCATGCTGCAACATTCGGGATACAAAGTATGAAAAGAAATGTTGTCGCACGGCAACAATCGGAGTGTATGAGTTTTAATCAAAAAATTACTGACTTGTTGTACCAAAAAGTCAGCAAATCCCATCGTTCATCTACAAAAAAAGAAGGCGGTTAGGGAAAGTTGCTGCAAAGGATTCTCGTTAGGCATAACAAGTTGGGGGCTGGCTTTACATAATTCGCATTACAACGGGCTTCCTACAAAAATCAAATTTTCTTGCATCAAGAATAAACAGCAGTTGATTGCAATAAAACCGATCTAGTTTCCTTTTATCCCAAAAGCACAAGAACAGGTAAAAAATTTTCGTTCGCGGCGGGGGTCTAGCGGGCGGTTTTTAGTGTTTCACCGAAATGAGCACAAAATCATTTGAAATAAGGAATATCTAAAACACATAAGAACAACAACCCTTACCTGTATTCGCATGCCATCGATTCTGATGCCAGTGAAGAAGGGGAACAGCCTACATCCTACAAAATGCCAATAAACTCTCCAGATTTCCAATAAGTCATGGTTCAAAAATAAAAAAATCTGAAAAAATCCATATTCAAAAACTTACTGGAAAAAGACAATGAAAGAAGAAATAGATGTTAAAAATAAGGAAGTTCTTCTTACTTACAAACCCAGATTGGAAGGTATTCTGACGTTTTATGCTCTGAGGAGTGTCAGACGAAAAAGCTTTTAGTTTGTCGTAAAATGTTTGCTTTTTTCAAAGCCATTTTCAAATTCTGTACCGCAAAAAAACTGTTCACTTCTTCTTAATTTTAGAAATCTTGTAAACAAACATTGTCCTAAGAAAAAGCAGGATAAGCGGGCTTTAGAGCTAAAAAAACAAAACTTGGATTAATTTTCGAACTCAAAGAGTGATAAAAATCAAAGATTAATTTTGCTTGGCACTATATCAGAACTGTTTACTCTTAGTATCATCAGTAATCTGTGAATTTTTTGTGCTTTTATTACTAACCTGAACAATTCCATGTTATTTTGGTTGTCAACAGCTGGACTAACATCTCAGGAACATCACTTTACAAATATCTACCTTTTTAAATTGACTTTTGTCTGATCCATGAGTAAAGAAACCGTGATGTGATCCGTCTTTTACAGGTGTTACAGGTGGCCAGTCAAGAAAAATGGATACCTATTTGCAAGGCATGTTGGAAAAGTTCTGTTAAAAATCCATAGCGCTCTTCCACAGGACCATTTAATTTCATTGAACTTTAGGTGCTGGTCTCTTCACATCTTGTCATCATGCAGTCCTAGCATTCACTGGCAGCTTCACGCCATCATTATGAAAGCAGGCACATGTATTATTAGCGTTTTGAATGAGCTCCAATGAATTTGTAAATTGGATTAAAAAAGAAGACCATTATTCGATTGTCATTGCTAGGGCAGGGTGCCTTTCTTGAAAAATACAATATGTTACAAAAGATTACAATGGCTACGATAGGGGTCCTTTCTTTCTCAATACCAAATTTAGAGATTGACAAAGGTTGTGGAACCAGAGCCCATTTTTGCTTTAGGACTTGTTGCCATTTATTCGAGGAGGTAAAGGGAAAAGTGATGTTATGTTTCTGGAACCCTCTCTAGGAAAATTTTGACAGGGTTCCAGAACCCTTGGAAGCCAGTCTGAATCCGCCACTGTGTATAAAGCAACTAAATCCTACTGCACATAAAGACTGCAATTTTGTTATCTTGGGATATATTTCACCTGATTTATTAATAACAATTTTCTAAGAAAGACTCTTGAATATCACAGGTTGGGGTATTTTCAGTTTCTCAGTTATGGCCACCAGTGCTAGTGAATGTTACATGTCCCTAGGACTAGTATGCAAATTCAACATAGACCATCCTAATATCGAAGCAACTAAGCATCTGAACAGAAGTCAATTGCATTTAAACAATCTTGGTGACACTATCATAACAAATAATTAACTTAGTTCTCTCCATTTTTGACTCAGTACTGATAATAATAACGGGGATGTCCGCTTGACTCCTTCGCAGGGGGTTCAAACGGTGGCTCCTGCGGCTGGTTCCCCCGGTGCTACCGGACTTGGTAGCAGGAAAGGTATGGTGGTGGCATCCTTGAACGTAAATAGCCTAATGCTAAATATCAACAAGATCCGTTTATTGATTAAAGAGCTTGGCATACACATACTTGCCATAAATGAAACAAAGATTGATAAAAATGTGCATGATGATCTTGTCAGCATAGATGGCTACGCGATCAAGAGATGTGATCGTAACGGTGGCGGAGTTGCAGTTTACATAAAAGATACCCTCTTTGATAAATGCACTGTCCGCAATGATCTTCCTGAATCCACGCTTGAGGCTTTGTGTATTGAAGTAAAACCAGTTAGGTCTGCACCTTTCGTTGTTTTGGCTTGGTATCGCCCTCCGAATGAGGCAGTTGAAAATTTTCGTCTTTTGGAGGAAAGCCTTCAATTCCTTGATAAAGAAGGTAAGGAAACTATTCTTTTAGGAGATACAAACTGTGATTTGCTTCCAAAGTCCTCTGATCATGATTGTCTGAATACTGACCTTTTACCGCATTCAAAACACTTGACAGAGATATACGAACGTTTTGGCGTTCATCAATTAATTAAAACAGCAACGAGAGAAACACTGATCTCCTCTACTTTGATTGACCATATTGCCACTACTAACAAGTCAAACATAGTAGTATCTGGCGTACATCAAACTAGTATCAGTGATCATTATCTACTCTACAGTGTTCGAAAATTTCGGGGTGGGGTAAAAAACAGCACAAAAATATCAGTACCAGGTAAATGAAAAACTTTAGCAAAGCTGAATTTCTTGACGATTTGCAAAAAATAGATTGGAAAGACATACTGATGATGTTAACATCATAGTGAAACAATGGACATCTATGTTTTCCCTTGTACTTGAGAAACATGCTCCCTTACGCAGTAGGGGAGTTTCAGAAAGATTCTGTCCATGGATAACCAAAGAGTTCAAACTTATATGTGCATCAAGGGACAAACTGAGAAAAAGCAAGCTATTAAATCTAAATCTGAAGTTTTATTTGATGCGTATAAACAAATGAGAAATAAAGTAAATAAGGTCAATATCGATACGAAGCGCGATTATTTCTCGAACAAAATTGATTCTAATGAAGGTGACATTAAAAGTACGTGGAAAACTATTAATTTGGTAATAAACAAAAAGTCAAAGACCACGCAGATTACAACTCTGGATGTTGATGGGGAAAAAATTTTCAATCATGAAGCTATCGCAGAACATATGAACACCTATTTTTGTAACGTCGGTGAAGACCTTAGTAAGAAAATTCCTGCCACACAAAACCCTTTTTGAGGGTAAATATTCGGTAAATCCAGAAGGAGCACGGTTTCACTTTCAACCTGTAAATTCACACCAGGTCGCAAGTGTCTTGGGGAAATTCAAAACATCTATGGGTTTTGGCACTGACTGCATAGCAAATCATTTTTTGAAGATCGGTCTCCCAGTTATTTCAGGCTTCCTCTCCTCTGTGATATATTTAATCTGTCTATTGCCACAGGAGTTTTTCCAGATTCTTGGGTAAATTGCTAGAGTTGCTCCTATTTTCAAAAGTGGTCAAACTGATGATCGTTTTAATTACAGACCTATATCTGTTCTTCCTGTTCTTTCGAGAATTTTTGAAAAAATGATCTTCAACCAACTCTATAAGTACTTGGATACAGACAAACACTTGTTTTCTAAACAATCCGGTTTTAGACGCCTGTACTCTGTTGTAACAAGCCTCCTGTCCTGCACTAACGATTGGTATAAGAATATGGATACTGGGAAATACACTGCATTGGTGTTCATAGTCCTAAAGAAAGCGTTTGATACTGTTGATCATGATATCCTGCTAAAAAAGATGCAGGAATATGGAATTTCTGGTATCGAGCATGCATGGTTTACATCATATCTCCAAGACAGACGACAGTTATGCAAAGTCAATGGTGTTTCGTCACGAATAGAAGAAATACACTGTGGTGTACCACAAGGATCTTGTCTTGGGCCTCTTCTTTTTATACTTTATATCAATGACCTTCCGTATTGTCTGGACAACTGCCAGGTGACTATGTATGCTGATGATACCAGTATCTCCTTTTTTGCAAGGAACGTCAGAGATCTGAACGTGACGCTTAACAAAGAACTTGATTCTTTAAGGGAATGGCTCAAAGACAATAAGTTATCATTGAATGTCCTGAAGACACAGGCGATGGTCATTGGATCTCTGCGTAACCTGAAGAAGATTTCGACAAAATCAGTGGAACCACCATTATTTTCTATTGGTGGCTCTGAAGTTGAAATGGTTGATAAGGTCAAGTATTTAGGGATGCAAATTGATAAACATTTAGCTTGGGATGAACATATCCATTTTGTATGATCGAAGGTTTCTCAGGCTATTGGATTTCTTAAAAATGGCAAGATGTTACTTCCAATAGACACTCTCTCTAAAATGTATCGTGGTATCGTTGAACCGCATCTCCGCTACTGCTGCTCAGTCTGGGGGGCATGTGGGGGGACAGGGTTGCAGGTGCTGCAAAAACTTCAAAACTGCGCAGCTAGAATTGTGACCAACAGCAGTTATGATTCTTCTGCTAGTGCTTTGATTAAAGTTTGAATTGGCCTACTGTAGCAGATTTGTTAAAAACCGAGACAGCTTGCATGGTTTACAAATCGATAAATGACCTTGCTCCTGATTACCTGTCAGAAAAATGTTCATTAAAAATTCGACATGCAGTAGGAAAAATTTGAGAAACACCACAACTGATCTTCAAGTCCCACTAATGAGAACAAGTAATGGTCAGTGAGCTTTTTTATATCGTGGTGTTGGAGTTTGGAACCTCTTGGGTTGTGAAGTCAAGCAGGCATCCTCATTGAAAGCATTTAAAGAAGCTTTAAAAAATAGTTCATTTATTTATTTAATCATTTGTTCATTATTGTAATTAAATTGGGGTTTTACTTCGTATTTATTTTTAACTTAATTTGTAATGTTTTATGCACAGCCCCTTGAAAAGCAATCTATCGATTGACGGGGTTACCGTGCTTAAAGAAATTAAAATGAAATGAATGAAATGAAACACCAGGTGGATGTTTCTGGCATGTCAAGCAAAAAGTTTTGGCTGCAAAATTCCCTACAGAGGGGACCCAAAAATCAGCCGCTTACTCGCTGCTACAAATGATTTGTCATAACATGTTATGATGGATCGTGCAAGGAATGATTTCTATGGGCTACTTGTCACTGTACAGCAAAATGTCCCAAAAGCAAAGTTTGAATGGCAAATCCCTTACATTATTTGGCAAAAATCTGTCTTTGAATTTTTATTTTATATTTCCAAAAATATGAAAAGTGTCATTATCGTTCCTTCATTATTGTGAAAATCGTCAGGCAATATATATTTGTCAATACTGTGTTCTTTAGGGGAGCAACCTTTTTCATATTCTTAGCGGCTGTTTGAGGATTGTAAAACTGTACAGTTTATAGCATTCTTTTATCAAAAGCAGATTAATGTTGTATCTATATTGCTACGGCTTGACAAAAAGTTGTGGAGAAATGGGAATTTGTGGAGCAGAATTTTTAAATTGTCATTTGTGGTCATGGAAAAATGGTGTCAATATAAGCGAAGACAAAGGACGGTCACTGTTGGTAACACTTTTAATGCAGCAGTTGTTCATCCCGGTGTTTATGTGGAATGTTGCCAGGAGTGCCCAAATTGGCTTTGGCGGAAACTTCAGCACCATCATCCACAAGGTAAACTGGTCTTCTTTTCCATTGGTATTTTTTGAATGTTTTTTACTTTAGCCCAGAGAGGAGGGACAAAAAAAGACAAAAAAACAGAAAATCAAATAATATTTACAAACCTGCTATTTTTAAATGTGGATATATTTGTAAAAGTATACATTTTTCTCAAAAAATAACTTTTTGAATGCAAGCTACAGTTTTTGAAGAATGTTTTTGAAGAAGTAAGTGCAAGGAGAGAGGATCAAGTGTAGTAGTCGGTCTAAAACAGTTAATCAAAAGAAGTACAAGGGAAACTCTTACAACTGCCACTCTGATTGATCATATTGCTACAACTAATAAAGCTTTTAAGTAGAATCTGGTGTTTATGAGACAACTATAAGTGATCACTATTTGGTCTACTACGTTAAAAGATTTAGAGATACTGCTAAAAAACAGCACAAAAACATTTCCTCTCAGCAAATGAAAAATTTCAACGAAGAAAACTTTCTTAGTGATCTTCAAAAAATTGCCTTGAAAAGCATTGTTTCAAATACCGATGATATGAGCCGCATCATTGAGCAATGGACAAATATGTTCTCATTGATTCTTGAAAAACATGCTCCTTTACGCTGCAGCAGGGTTTCAGAAAAGTTTTGCCCCTGGTTGATGAAGGATTTCAAATGTTTGTCTGCTACAAGAGACAGGTTAAAATTGGCAGTTGTACGCTCAAAGTCCAAAATTTTCATGGATGCTTATAAACAAACGAGAAATAGGATTAAACAAAATTTAAAGCGCTACTATTTTACAAATAAGATTGCCCTTTCCCAAGGTGATCTTAAAAACACTTGGAAAACCATCAACATGGTTCTCGATAAGAAATAAAAAAGGACTCAAATTCAGTCACTTGATGTTGATGGTAAGCATGTTACCGATAATAATGCTGTTGCTCAGACAATTAATGATTTCTTTTGGCAAATCTCTTAGTGACAAAATTCCACAGAAAGCCAACCCCCTTGTTGAAGATAAGCTGGAAATGAACCCTGAAAATTTACAGTTTAAATTACAAGCCTCTGATGTTCCTCAGATAAAAAAGGTTTTTGGTAAATTCAAAACGTCCAAGTGTTTCGGTCCTGGTGGCATTGCTAACCACTTACTAAAGATCGCATTCTCTGTCATTGCAGAATCTCTCTGTGACATTTTCAACCTCTCAATTGCCATTGGAGTTTTTCCTGAAAATTGGAAAACTGCAAGGGCAGCAGGTACTCTTAAAATCCATTTGTCCAAGATATGTTATCAGATACTTTTCGGACAAGTCTACAGTTTTAAGCATATGTTCAATACCTGATAATAATTCCACACGCTGATACACTGGCATCATATCTTTTGTAAATGATTTGTAACTCTAGCGTAGAGGCAGGTGCAACACATTCATTAGGCTAGCAGGTGCTGAGGCACCCCTTTAATTTTTTCAAAGATATGCTGCAAAACTTTCGAAAAATTATGAGAATGAAGTCATGTATTTCGTCAGATTTCTAAAGATTTCAAGATCGATTTTAATCGAAAAGAATCTCCTTCCCTAGGCCAGAGAAGTTGCTTTCTTTGTAAAATCTTGGAAGATAGTGTCTCGCTAGCTGAAAAATCATCATTTGATACCTAAATTTGAGGGCAATACATCATTTGGTAACTACAAATTTTGTCAGCCATGTGGCCGTTTCAAATAAAGTCAATTGGACTGAAAATTCTCTTCATGCCAATGCCAATTATGAATAAAAAACTTTGATTTTCAACATGGGGCATGTTCTGACATTCTAAATAGGGAGCCATCCCCTGATCCCCTGTTTATTTTCCTGTGACAATGCTTGCAACAAACTGATTCTCAGCTAAAGCAAAGTTTTTCCGAGCCCGTTTCACAAGCCCTAAAGTTTTGTGACTTTAGCATCTATTGGCGCCCTTTTGGCTGCTTTTCCCAGTGGGTCAAATGGTTGCCAGTCCGCCACTGATTTTGACAGTGTTTGACTGTGGACATAAATGAGAGTAACCAAAACAAACCAATGTCTACCAGAAAATATTCTAAATTGATAGAGAGTAATAGGTATGGAAAGAAACTGCATATTAGCCAGTGAGAAGATATAAAAAAGAATAAGAAGTTTTGCTCTAATAACCAGGCTAAAACTGTTGGTATTATCTAAGGTGAAGCTATATCTTTTTATTGTAAATGAGTGTTAGGCACACCTTGCTTTCCAGGGAATGGTTCTCTGGCATCATCACAAAGAACAAAGAGCAATGAATCGCACTTCTCAGATAACATAGAGTTCGAAATAATTTTATCTGAGAATGACAATGCTGAGGTAGGCCATCAACCCTACACAAAGGAGCTGATCAAAACTCTCTCAAAGTCAAAATATGGTTCAAATAAGGTCCCGAAGCACTCTCCAAGAAATGAAAAATATGAAATATGGACACAATATGGCAGTTAATCCAAGGATAATGCTCCTGGACTATAGGGAGCCAATTATAGGTTTGTGGCTTCACGACCTGGACCAAATTTTCACGCACGGCCTTCGGATTTTGATATGATTTTTCTACGGATTGCGGCTTCAGCAAAAGTTGCATCTTTCGGTGTATATTCGCGACAGTTTACAGCTTTTATGATGCGGTTGCGTTTTCTGGCTGCAATAATGGCTTGCGGCCAGGCCCTTTACTTCATATTGAAGGGTGTTGAAAAGAGCTCTAGGGGTAACGTTTAAAATGGACAAGCCACTGTCAGTTAGGACAAAAGAGAGAGAGGAAATCTAAACAATAGTTTTGATTTGTGTTCATATCATGGAGGATAATAGACCAAATTAGGTCAAATCACAACGTCTAGAATATGATAGTGATTCACCAAAAAGTGAAGCCAGCAATTGTTCGAGCGAAGAAGAGGATAGTGGTACAATGACGGGTCGAGTAGCGAGAGAGGCTTTGTTCCTCCTTGGCTCAAAGTCGCAGTTTGGTCGTGCAGTTAGGTTCAATGGTTGATTTATTCAGTAGACCTAAATTGTTAGTTTTAGTTCTGTTTTTCGAACTTTGACCCATTCATTACTAAAAGTCTAGCGTCTTTAAATGTTTCAGGGTATGTGAAAAATACTTGGGTACAGTGGCGTACCCAAGGTGGGAATAGGGGGGACTTCTAGACCCCCCACTATTCTAAAATATAATCCTCCAGATTTGTCCAAAAATGATGTAAAACTCATTTGGGGGGTGTAGTTTACTGTATGCTTGTGTCAATAACAATTGTAAAGTACTTTGCTAATTACTGTAGTTAACATGAATCAATTAATGGCGGAAAATTTTGCAAAAAGGGCGTTTCCCCGCATTCGCGAGTGTTTGAAGGGCGTGATGAAAAAAAATTCGGGGGACTTCGCCCCAGACCCCTCACTACTCCGGCCCTGGGTACGCCACTGCTTGGGTACAGACAAATACGAAAAATGTTAAACGCTTTTCATGAAAATATGCAGTCAATAGATTTTTAAAAATTTTTGGATTGACACAATTGCTTGCTGTGAAACAGAATGAGAAGCATGAGAAACAGCGATTTCTAGCAATGTATCCTTTTTCTTATTAGCAAGTAATTGGCTTTTTGTGTTTCTGGACGTTTTGCAAGGCGGCTGTGTCTTTGCGATTTCTTTCATTGCGGATTTTGGCTGATTTTTGCTTGGTTTGGCGGCTTCAGGACCCCCTTTAATAGGCCCCACTATAGTATCGAAATCATTTTTTGGGCAATTTAAGACATGAAACAATTGAAACAGGGCATTTAGAGCTGGATGATGCATGTGTTCATGGCAGTGCTTGTCAATCTGAATTAAAGGTTGAAAGCTGAAGAGTACAAAAAGGCAATTTCAAATATACAGATCCATGCGGAGCCTGCTATTAATCGCATGAAAAATTTAGTCTTTTGAAGGGTACATTGCCCCTCACCCTTCTTCAATATGCTAATGATATTGTAAGGAGTTGTGCAGCAATTTGCAACATACAACCAGGTGCAGCAATTTGTAACTCTTATCAGGCCAAGACATCGAAATTTTTTATTCATTTACCAATAATAATTGTTTAAGTTTCCTGCTAGAAAAAGTCTTCCTCCTTATCATCAAGCTCTGGATAACTACCTAATAGCTGCCCTCCCGTTTGTTTTATCAAATTTTGAAGAAGAAAACAGTCAACTGGTTGAAACTTCTTTACAATGTTTATGTGTAGGAGCACCTTGATGAAGCAGCATATTTTTAATTTTAGACCTTTTTTATCTAGTTGATTCTCATCCTAAAGAAGACCATGTTTTAGGAGTTGATTTTTGAGAACTTCGAGCCTAGGAAATTCTTATTTCAGTCAATTATTTATCTAAATTTTAAGCTGTCCTTAGTCACAGTCACAGGCTTTAATTTTTTTAAATTTTTGATTAGCCCATAATTTTTCAACTTGAGCATTGTTCCCAACCATTGTAGGTAGAATCTTGTATTTCTGATGAGTGTTTACTTTTTCAACATATGAAGTCAAAGTAGATTTGGGAAAAATTATTTCTTCACTATTCTTGTAACATTTTTCACTGAGTGAAGTATTTGTGATTTGTTCTCAAACTAAGAATGTTGGACCCAGAATCAGTTGCTAAATATGGCAGTTTTGCATCAGGATCGGTAGGGGAAGTATGAGCTGTGGCATTTGTTTTCAAGACATGACGTCCCACAACAGTCGCAGTATACAATCCTGTCAGGACTAACACCAATAAATGGTAGTTCTTTGGAAAGGAACAAACGACATTCCTTTAGTGCTGCACTTTTATGTTCCCTGGTAAAATTCTCAAAAAACTTTGCTGTGGTATCCTCTTTCGTAGCAAGGCCATACTTTAGTCCTTGCAGACTGACAATTACCAGCTTTTCTCCTGAAAATTATGCGAAAATCTAACTAAAGTCTGCTGCTCCTTTACTTATATGGGTTAACATCCCTGTCTTGAAAGCATGGGTTTTTGATGCAGTAATCAGGTGTCTCCTCGCTGAAAACCAAAAGTCATTACAACTTTGGCCTCTAGTTGTCTTATCGACTTCAGAAATTTTGTCTGTTAAACAGAATAAGCTGCCAATGAATTCCTCTGCAGTGGATGCCGACTGAAATAAATCAGAAGGGTTTAATAAGTTAACTGGTCCCTTATCTTCGGTATTCATGATTATTTATTTCTGCTCAGCTGTGAAAATGATGGATTAATTTTCATTGCAAACAGACCTGAAGGCTGATACAATGTCAGTTAGGTTTAATTATCCCTGAATATTGATAGTGGGATTGTATCTCTCTTTTAGTGATGACTTCAACCTTTTTTTAGATTTACCTTTTCAAAGGTTGCACATCTCTGTCATTCACAAGGCCTTGAAGTGCATGAAGGGTTTAACAAGCCCATCCTTACTGCTGCCTCAATCCTAAAAAGTGCAGCACCATCGTGGTTCCATGTTTGGGAAATCCCTGCCATGCATGAACAATGAGCAGCCATAATGTGCCAAGTTGTTTTCATTAAACCATAGTCATAAGAGAGAGATAGTCTGGAAGCGAACAATGGGCTATTGTTTTCTGCAATTGTACGCGCCTTGAGGTTGAACCAGCAACATCAACAACTAGAAGGTCACAATTCGGCTGATTATGGCTGCTAACAAACACGAATCTCTACCTGTTGAGGAACTTGATGATAGTTTGTACCTGATTAACGAAGGATTTCTGGAAGATGAGGATTTGAATAGTCAGATTGAAGATATTGCCATAGAAGTTACCAGAGATTTTGAATGGTTTCGAATGCAACGTCTGTGGGAAGGCCTGCAAGGCATGCCGTGGACTATCAAGGCACTCAAATTCGAAACATTGTCATGTTACTTCTTCCTCTGACGCACCCGTATCTTCCTTGTCCAGTGCTGCACAAACATCTTCTTCTTCTAACTATTCTGCCGATGAAATAAGTCGTCAAAAGCTTCATCCACTACAGCTTAAAGCCATTGTATTGAAATGCGCTAAAAAGATCTCTTCAGATAAATGCCTTCCCTCGAGTTTGCGAGAGCAATTTTCTAAGGGATTATTTATGTTCACAAATGACCTGTTGAATTTGGTCGAAATTGAGAAAAGTTATAGATAGTTTTAAGGGCGATGCTGAAAAATTTTTTTCTGGTCTTTTTTCGTTATTGGTTTTCAATGTTCTTACATCAAAAGTTGAGGAATCTTTCGTTACAAATATGTTGATGTCAGAAGTAGCAAATCTTTTATTGAGTCATCTATCTGGTGTTGAAAATTTGGATGGTACAAAGGAGCCTGAGTCTTTGTCAGCAAAGGAGGAGAAAAGTTTGCAATATCTGGCTGGTTTTATTTTACATAAACTTTATTCAAAATTGTTTAATTCTACTAAAGGCAGAGACATATATCAACAAATTCTTTCTCTTCTACAAGCTTGCAAAGTTGAAATTGATGAATCTCAAACTATTATTAATGCTCTTGACAAAGATGGTTTATAGAGAGCGAACAATAAAGTTCAAAAAGTTTTTTTGCGATCAGAATTGTTATTTCATGCGAGGACTGTTTCTTATAAAACAAAATTGGCTTGTGAAGATTTGGTTTCAGAGATTTCGAAAGACCCTTCTGTTCTTTCCAATTACAATGACATTTGCCTAAATGCCAGCCTTGAAATAAGTAAAGAAGTTAGTATGGATCTCTTAGAGCACATGATGACAATATACTTTCGAGTAAGAACTTTGCAAAGGATATCAGGGAAAAACATAAAAATTCAAAAAAACTGTCAAAGAAGCAGTCTCTCCAGACAGAAATTAAGAAAACCAGTTCTTCTACAGACACTCTACAGAAGTCTAATTTTTAAAAACGGACAATTGATTATCCAACTGATAAATTCAAATTTGGGATGTTTACAAAATTATACACATTAAGCTATAATTTTCATTTACAGCAAATAATCAGAGATGATGCATGGTTGCAGAGTCATGTAACCCTTTGACTTTGCAGTTAGTACAATCAGACGGACAGGGTTTGAGCCACAATGGAAACTTGTAACAAATCCAATGACATGAATTTTCTTTATTTCTGTGATCCTAGAGTTTGGTGTTGAAACATATAAATTCACATTCACAGATTCTGTAATAATCAGGGGGTACTAAGAATAAATATGATGCAATAGGTTTAAATTAGTCACTTAGAGAGCCCACATTGAGAACTGTAGGCTTGAAATTTCGAGGGTGGGTTTTCGTCAAAATTTTCCCGCCGTTTTCAAATTTTATTAGATTCCAGTCTTACCGTGTGAGTGTATTCGCCATTTTCATCACATAAAATTAGTAATAATGGTCAATTGTCGTTGGCAAATCATGATTGAAATTACTTTGGGCTGTTGCTGAAATTTTTCACTTTTATGAAATCAGATTCCAGAGGACAAAGATACATTTATTGACTTTGAGGGTGAATATGAAAGCCTTTGTGCCGTTGTGATAATTACATAGACGATCACGGCCAAATATAAGGCTGAACAGTGAGTGCATCTATGACGGGATTATGAACCATTCCTAGTTTTAAGGTAAGTATATAATTGATTTTGTCTAAATGTGAAATGTCTAAAGCGCTTTCGGTGGGGAGAAGTAAAAAACGTAATTTATCTGCATCTCGACACGAAATTTATCGATCATTTGCAAGGTGTTTTTTTATATTATTCTTTGTGCTCGAACAGTGGCGCCAATATAGGTTAAATAGCAACGCATGATGATGAACTGGACAAAAAATAAGGTGGAAATTCGCTTTGTAGAGGCGTGCAATGTTTTTTGTAGACAATGTGGTAAAAACACGCTGAAATGGCGAAAATGGGCCTAATTCTAGCTGCGAAGCGATTTTGTTGTGAGAATCCTGTGTGCTGATTGGCTTAGAACATGGTAGCGAACAGAGCTCACAGCCAATCAAAGATTTGACTGCCATGCTACTACCGCAACATGCGACTTCACAAGGAGACTTTCAAGGCTTTAGTTCAATTTTGTGCCTAAAGCTTAACTGCAAATTACGAAAAGATGGATCACACTTTTTATTTAGCTGGTACAGAAATTGAGGTCTGAACTGGATTTTGGGACAGTCAACATGGTCCTTGAAGATCAAGAGTATAACCTGTTGTACAGTAAGATTACTTATTGTAGCGAAGGTACAGAGTGCCAGATGACTGTGGCATATCTAAAAGATGTTTCATCTTAGCTTGCTCTAGTTTCTACTGTCCGTGAGAGCAATTTGGAACAACATTTACAGGCAGAACGGGAAATGTTGAAGCTGTGCTTCGCATTTGATCATATCAATTATTCAAGATATATGTTGTTCCAGCACGTTTATTTACGAGATTTAGAGAGAAGAAATGATCCAGCTTTTACAGATTAAAAGCTCAGAGGATTTGGAGGCAGTCTTTCCGGTGTGAAATTTTCAAATATTCAGGGGGATTCGATCACAGAAGTATTCAACGGAGAAACAAAAAGAAACGCTGGTCCTTTTAGAGGGGGATTTAGCACTAGTCCAAGCAACACCAACACTTGGATTAAAACGACGCACGTACATGCCAAATTACAGTTAGCATTAAGAGAAAAGATCAATATATCTACTTCTTCAAGGAACAAACACCATCTGGAAAGAATATGCATGTTGCTCATGTTAACGCACTCAAAGACAAACCGACAAGCTATCAAATTTATCCATTTGCAGATGGTCCAGCCAGGCACCAAAGACTGGCTCAGAAATTGACAAAAAAGTTATTGCAGGTTTGCTAAATGCACCTTTATTGGGAAATGACAAGTATTTGCAGTTCATAGATGAAAGACTTGTAAAAGGAACTGTAGATTCCTTTCAGCTGATAAAGAAGGTTATGCTACCAACAGAGTTAAAGAAGGAAAAGAAGGTTCCTAAAATAATGACCGTATTAAAGCAAGATAGACAAGCGTTTGGGACAATGCTGAGCAATTCAGTGGATCTTCACATCGCCTTCAAGTACCTGCTAACTGTTGTTACACTTAGCATTGCAACACCGGAAGGGGAACTCCACCAGTCCTCTAAAAATGTTTTCAGAAACTTTATGGTGGAAGAATCAAAGTCAGTGACAATTGAATGTCCAAAAAATGCACGATGGTTAGTTGATGGTATGGCGGCAGTATGTTCTGTTAAGGCAAAGGAGACTACTGGAATGGCTTATTTCATTACTAAACTTTGTTACGTCATCTGCAGCTGCCAGCCCCTTGTCGATTGAATTCATCAATGATACCTACTGAAGTTTAAGTGCGAAAAACGGGACAAGGCTTAAAAGAGGTAAAATACCACAGCGTACTCGCATACAAGTGATCAACCAAAAAATGCTCCAAGGTAATTCATGGGCAAGCTTTTTCAACCAAATTGAGAATAAAAAGGACTTGATACAATTAGCAAGTAAATTTTTCCGAAGTGAAGAGGGTAGGCCACATTTGAAAATGCCATTGGTTTTCACGGAGCAGGAACAACAATGGGAAATAACTCGTGATGGCGCTTCAGAGTCTTATGAATGCAACCATGAAGAAGCCGACTCTAGACTTGTTTTACAGGCATGTGAAAAAGATACAGTCGTAGTGGTAGTTGCCAAGGACACAGATGTACTAGTAATAATTGTGCATGCTTATGCCATTGTCAAGCCATGTTCAAAGTGGTTTATGAAAATAGATCACGAGAAATATGTTGACGTTGAAAAAGTGTATGTGGAAAAGAGTGATTATATTTTGGGTGAAAAGGTTTTGATGCATTTACCCCACATTCACTCAATTTTAGGGTGTGACACAACCTCCTTCTTTTATGGATTTGGGAGAGTCAAACTCCTAAAGAAAGTAATGAAGAATCAAGGTTCACTAGATCTCTTGAGTTCGTTGGTAGAGTCTAAAGAGTTGGATTTGCAGAGTATCAAGGATATCATTGTTTTCGTCCAAACTGTTATGTATTCTGGGAGAAGGGATGAGTCGTATGTGGACACAAGAGTTCTCTTGTATAAAGACATGAAAACGAAATAATCGCAGTTATTGCCTCCAGACATCGACTCAATTCATCAAGCAGTTAGACGTGTCCATTATCAATTCTATTATTGGTTAAGATTTGCAGAAAAATCTATTCAATCCATATCTCTCTAGGATAACGGTTGGACTATTGACGTTGCAATAAGTCTGGTAGAGCCTGTTTGGTTCGCGGGTGAGTTGTTGTTTTATTTAATCAACGCATCTTTGTGTTGATGGACCAATCCTAATCGACATTTTAAAGAATCATAAGAATTCCCCTTATAACCCTTGTTAGTTAGAAAAAGTCAAACAAGAGAAAAACCTAGGATTTTTATGAGAAGAGGTGTTCTGCAAAAAGAAGAGGAGAGCCTGCTCAAATTCGTCAGAAAGCTGTGAACCGCATATTAATGCTCTCTAACAGGTGTTGCTAGTTTCTTTTAAAACAAACTTGAATGATTGGCCTGATTCGGAAAATAAAATATTACAAATTTCACCTGTTATGGCTAATTTGGCTATAGGTAAGCTACAATATTTGCATGTAGTGCTACGAATGTTACCGAAAAAACTAGAAAATACATCAAATGCCGATAGAGAATGAGGTAGTGATAACTATTATATTTTATATTCAGTTTATTTCTAGCTTTGATAATGGATCAAGGACCAGACAACAGAGCCGTCACTACCATGGTGCATGACAACAGGGCCGTCACTAGGGTTGTGACACCCCCTTGAAAAAATCCTGTTGCAAAAAGAACAGCTTTTGGCCATCTGGGGGTATTTCATCGGCGAATTCTCAAACTGGCTCATTTACCTAGTCAGCAAATTGAACTTGAGCGCCTAACTCACTCTCCCCCCTTAAGCAGATTGGCTGGCGACGGCCGTATCAGAAATTCTGATAACCAAGTAAAAATGTTACAAATAGGTTTTTAGGGAATGGGGTGCACTTTTCTTGATTAGTCTCTCTACTGAGAATTAAGAAATTCCTCCCTATACAAATTTAAATGTTATCATGTTGAAAAATGTGTCCATTAAGTTTTGTATTCTTATTTTCTAGTTTTACTCTAACAAATTAACTTAAACTTTTGTTGTTGTTGTAAGTTGTCATGATATTATCTAAACATATTTGTATAGTGTTGTATGTTGTGGAATCTCACCATGTCATTATCCGACAATTTACACATAGAATAGTTTCAAACAAAAAGAACAAAATAATGTTGTTTCTGCTTTGACTCTGTTTACTTTCTTTCACTCTTTCAATCGAGTAACTCAAAACGAAATTGTGGTGCTGCTGAGATTACATCTCCTTTTAAAAACTTGAATAGTCATGCCTCTCTTGAAATGCCATTTCATCAGATATGTAGTTTTATCTGACCCCTCTTTGGAAGCTTGTGTGTCAAAAAAATCAATAGTTGATATAGTCATTTTAGATTCATGTAACACTGAAATATTAGTGGTTACAGAAACCATTCAAGAAGCACTGGATATTCTTAAAAGGCATGAAATAGAACATACTTTAAGATACTCGGCCTACTATTCAGAAAAAGGGTTTGGAGAAACTGGTGAACAATTTATAATGCCATTAATTTTAGATGTAATCTAAGCCGTTAGAAGCACTCCTTTTCCCCTGCATTTACAATCATGTACAAAAGTTTTTTGTAAACAGAATGCTTAGCACTTGGTACAGGATGACGTATAAGCTTTGTAATACAAAGATATTTTACAAGACAATTAGCCAAGAATCTCTTCAAGGACTTTAATCCTATGTGGAGCTTTAAGAGAATATTTCTATGAAATGGGCAACACTTCCATTTTCATTACCAATTTTTGAAACAGTATCTTCAAGGACAAAGAGTCAAAGGGTAAAGTCCAAAGATACCTGAATGTTCACCTGAGGAAGGTGACCCTCTAAGCAGACACTTTTCCTTGGTAGTCAGTATTATTTAGTAAACCCCCTGGGCATTAATCAAATTAACATTCTTGACGAACTCAAAAAGATTTGAAGAACCACTCACATGATAGATCTTTAAATTTGCTTAACAAGTTTTTTCAATAATTCCAGATTTCACCAAAAAGAAGCATGTGGTGAAATGGAATGGAAATGTGCCATTTATGATTGTAAATCAGAAAGTGTTTGATTGCCAGCATGGAGTTGATAGAAATTTGAAAAGAACGGGGAAAAAGAAAGCTTAGCAGTACATTCAATCTGTGAGTTCCAAAAGTCTTTATTGTCTGTTTAGTAACCATCCAAAAACCTGAAAATAATTAGACATTACCTTAAATATAAATATTCAGAGTAGGAGCTATGATTTGAGAAATTCATTGTCCCCCTAGATTGATTAGGTTGACTTCATACAATTTTCTGTTTGCTAATAAAACAAAATCTGAGCACACTGACTTGAAAGAGATAGCAGTTATGCGAAATGTAAATCCAATAGGAACATTTTACAATGAAAAAATGCCATCTTGCCAAAAAATCTTGTAAAAACCAATTTTCAAATAGGATTCATTTCTTAAAATTGGTAAATCCCAAGTGTTCTTTGAACACAAAGTGAACACAGTTACACTAATAATGTTGATTCATATCCCTTCCTCCCAAATCTAATGGATAAACTATCAAGATTCACCAGTATGCATCCCAACTATCTTTTAGAAGGAAGACCATCATTATCAAACTAAAAAGACATTTCTACAGACAACAAAGAAATTCAATTGTCCAGCCACTGTCAAAATGAAAGAAATCATAGAGTTTCCAAGTCACAAGGTTTGTCTCCTGATGAATCATTTTGGGAAGTTCATATATTCTTCAAAAGAATTGAGAAGCAAAACTGAGAATTCACAAAGTTTATGAAGAAAGGCTTAACAGTGAACTGCAGCTGATCACCAATAATGCCAGGAAAAGAGTTATGATTGTTAGAGGATAAGACGCTCTGTTTGCTGCTCTAGCTAGATTACGTACATTTAGGAAAGGAAGTCAGTGTAATTTAACAGGGTTTATCGATTTAGGTATAACCTGGTAAACATAAGAATATTCATTATCATCATGTTTAATTTCGTACATGCCAAACATCACAGCATATAAGCCCAGTTTACTGTTTTACACAGGTTTGCGACAATACAGAATGGAAAAGATCCCAAAAAGCTAAAGCTTTGAAAACAGACTTGCAAAGCAAAACACCTACAGAGTTCAAGCGGAGGTTTCAACTCGTGATACCTGATGTATCAGTGCACAGCGGCCATTCTATTGGAGAAGTAATTCTACCCATAATTATAAATCTTATGTTTGCTCGACGATTTAATGATTTCGTATTAACTACACAAATTACCTGAGTAAGTTCTATGTAAAATAATTTCTTTGAAAATGAAACTAAATTTTTAAACCTCGAATTTGGTAACTGCATACAAACTAAGGAGCATCAAAGCAATTTGAATATTGTTGTTGTAATCTTTTGGTATCTTTCTGTAGTCTTGAGTTGAATTTGAGAAATCAACACGACGTTTGATCTCGCACATGCCCCGCATTCAAATTCACACGTTCTTCGAATCCTTTAAAATATCAATCACTCTCGTTTTAGAATGCTGGAATATCACAAGAAATTGAACCCTACCTTGTCCAAAAGATCGTCATGTTAGTAAAGCAGGGTGTAACAACTGTCAATGAAATGCGACGCCAGTTGTTTGCCAATGCAGACCTTCCCTCGACTACAAATCGAAGATACTACCCAAACACCCGAATAATTCGATCACATATGGTCCATGCCAAACGAAAACAGCGCTATTCCATGATAGACCAAGAATGTCTTGTCGAGAAAATAAAGATTTGGAAAGAAGAGCAGACAAACAGTAAAATATTTTTCCGTCCGACAGCCACCGAGTCAAACGATGACATGCATGAAAACCCAAACGATGATATGTGTGTAGATGATGATGATGCAGAAATAAAGCTGCTAAGCAAAAATGGTGGACACTTTCTTTTCATTTATCAATCTGCAGAACAGAGAAGGTTGCTTTCGCGCTATGGAAACGAAATCTCTTTTCTAGATGCAACATATCGAGCAACAAGATACACGCTGCCGTTGTTCTTCTTAGTGGTGAAAACGAACGTCAATTAACAGGTTGTTGCAACCTTTGTCTTGGAAAATGAAGACACGAATAGTATCCAAGAAGCACTTGAGATCATTAAGAGCTGAAATCCGGATTATTTCCCAAAATATTTTATGACAGATTACTGCAACGAAGAAATCCATGTCATTGAAACCGTTTATGAAGGTTAGCCGTTAAACCTTGAATGTTTCCGACTTAAATTTTCGTTGAAACTAAAACATTTTAAACTCGTTCGTTTCCTAGTTTCAAATGTTGGTCCAAGAATAGTTTTCAAACACTCTACAATTTCTGTTTATTGAAACCACAGAATTTCTATGTTCAAAAAAGGACTTCATACAAAACAAAATACATAACAACTATCCATCTATGTAACTAACTTGCAAAAATCTTCAGGTCAGATTTGTTTAAATTTTTTTGAAAGATATAATAAAATATTTTGCATTTTGCCAGATTGTAAGGTGTTTATCTGCGATTTTCATCGTGAGCAAGCATGGGAAAGATGGCTTTCAAAAACGGCTGCAGAGACATAAAAGATGACGTGTTGTCAAAGCTTTGACGTAGAGCAAGATCGCAATCTATCGAATCGAGTGAGCAAGGCATCAAAGCGCTGAATGCAACGAGATATTGGAAGGCCGATCAACACAGATGTTTGAAGGAGTATATTGAGCGAATCTGGCTGTGCATTAAAGGGGTTAAAACAATTTTGCGTTGGTTTCTGAAAATATTACTACAGTTCAATATTCACATATAAAAACCAAGATCTTTCTTTTTTGAACATAATTTTTTAGCATTCGCTTTGAATCGCGTTCCCCCTGAATGTACATCTATTAAGGCCTGACAGGGGGCTACAGTCTGGGTCAAGGAGGGGCAAAGCTAAAATGTTAGAAGTACCCTCAACAGGTAGTCTTTTTGACAATAACCTCTAAATTGTAGCATAATAAAACTAATGCCATTTGGTAGCATTCCATTTCTTGGTGCTTAATTCCTTCGCTACGTCTTGTTTGTCGTTAATGTAGAAAGACAAAATCTTATTCTCCTCAGTCACTTAGAAGTACCCTTAAGAGAAAGGAACTCCTTAAAACACCCCGAAATTGTCGCGTCATTTCTCTAAATTGGGTCATTTGGTAGGCATTTGGTAACGGGTTCTTACCTGGGTAAAGTCCCAACCTGAAGTTTTTTAAAGGTTTTTTTAGAAGAATTACGTTTATAACTAACTTACTTCGACATTTATCTAACACAGCTCAGCAAAAAATGTATGCAAATTGAGTTATTTAGGATTCATGAAATAGTTGAATTAATAAATCCGTTTATCCTAGCGATGGATCTGGGCTTATCGCAAAGACAGGCTCCTCCTCAACTGTAACACAAACAATGTGACAGAAAGGCAAAACGAGTCTTTCAAATATCAGTACCTTCTCAAACATACCAGAACTTCAGTAACTGGAATGCTGACGATCTTAATTGAAGACTTCCTTGTCGACAAATATAACAAGTAAGCAGGCTATTCTTTAGATAAAATACAAATTTCTATGATATTGCAGTGAGATAGATACAGGAGCTGAAATTCACAAAACCTTGTCGAAAGATGCTTAAAGATGATAACTTTAAAAGTATTTAGCTACCCAAATTTTCCCTAGTTACAACTCGTCTATAGAAGTGATAGTTTTTCATTGCTGTAACTTGTAAGTTGGAACACTGTTAGCCCTTAAAAAGCACCTTTTCGAATTAGCACCCACACTGAAAGTTGAAATTTTGCTTTAAGAAGAACTATTGGTATAGCAATTTACAGAAAACCTCATTTAAGTCTCATAAATTAGTACCCATCCAACAAATTAGTACCTTTCTCTTAAGGGTACTTCTAAGTGACTGAGGAGGATAAGATTTTGTCTTTCTACATTAACGACAAACAAGACGTAGCGAAGGAATTAAGCACTGTAGCCCCCTGACACAAGACGTAGCGAAGGAATTAAGGACTGTAGCCCCCTGACACTGCAATTGTCGGATGTACTGGGTACCTTCAGACAACCAAAATCTTTCCAGGTAGATTTCCTTTTACTTGCAACAAGGATAAATCTTTTTACTCATTGCAAGCTTTTAAGCACTGACTGGATGTCCTTAAATCAGCATCTTTAAACAACATTGTTCATTCTCCTTGTTATTCCTCCTTAGTACTCCCAGCTCCTTACAAGATCCATCTTTTTAAAGAAGTAAAAGTTGGGATGGTAAAAGTTCATCACAAACCATTAATTTTACTGTGATAGGGGGGGAATGGGTCCAAGACATTCAGGTTGGTTATTATAAGCCGGGCATTAGGAAGGTGTTTAGCTACCTTTTCAGTTTAGTCAGCCCCTTCCTCATTCGCCATCTCTGCTTGGCAGGCAAAACCTATTTCTTCTGATTTCTCCTTTGATTTTCTCATAAATAAAGATAAACTTCACTTCCAACAGACAAATGGTAGAGTGCAGCAAGTGCAGTCAGTGGTACCACAGAATGTGTGAGCACATTCCTGCCGAGATTTTCGTAAAGAAAGATATTGAGTGGTGTTGCTACAAATGGAAAAAACAAGAGTATGATTTTAGCAGTGAAAATTTTAACATTGACAAAGATATTTAGGCCTCTGCAAACCAGAGTGCATCGTTTTCATACATTTTCTCATAAAATATTTTATTACATTATAATATGTTATATATAGTTAAATAACAATTTTATTATCCAGTTTCATATCATGGTCTCAGAATAAGTTTTATTATCAAAAAAATTATTATTATTTTTCTAATGGCATCATTATTTTTCTAATGTAGAGGTATCTGAGCACATTTTCAAGGCTTACTATGAAATGGATCCTGGCCAAAAAAATCATGGCTAAATATGTTAGAATAAGTAAAACATTTGTTTAAAAACTAGCAAAGTTGCAAAATTTTCAGAAAAATGTGGTGATCTAAGAGGTAACAAATAAGCACATTTAGATCTGACACAAAGTAGTAAGTTAAATTTAAAAGAAATTTATGCGAATACAAAGTTGTAGAATTCTATCTTTAGAAACTTCTGTAGACACACTGTACAATCTCCAGCATTGTAAATAAACTGAATTTTGTTGTCATCTTTATAATTTTTTCATGTATTGCTACATATTTTAAAACTCGCTTAAATTAGTTTATCTTGTAATTAATATGATGCTGAGAATATGTATATGATGTCTGAATCCAAACAATGACATATTATTCCGTTAGAAACACACATATACCTTACCTGTTGCTATCGAGTTGACTTGCCCTGAACTGATGTCGCATAGGCCTAATCTCATGCCTTCAATCAGAAATGCTCCTCCAGTGTATTCTGGTAGTTTACGCAGTGGACCTCAAAAGGAGCCATGGTATTTTTCATCAACCCGTTAAAATCGAAAACAAAAAAATTTCAAGGAAAAAATAGAATAATAAAAAAAGATGGTCGAAATAAATGTAAAAGTAATTTTTTGTAGCAAATAATATTTTCAAATGATTTTTTTTATGTTTCTTTCAATTTTTTTGAAATAAATTTCATATTTTCAATGCAATAGCATGAAATGATTGATGGTAACGATGGGCCACCATACACCTGTTGTCGGAGCACCTTCCACTGTGCAGCATTTTTCAATACATTTTCTTTAGAAATTTTGTATATTAAAGGTATTGTTAACATGTCTTTAACTATAGTTCTGGTTCTCTAGTTAACACAATCGTTGCTGAGGTATTTTGCAAACACGATCGACTAATTGCCATATGACTAATCCCACTAACATTATCCTTAATTCTGATTGGTATCTCAGGTGTAATTAGCTTAATCCAAACTTGTTTGTTAGTTTGTTGTTCATCGTAGTTGGTTGTTGAGTTGATGTAGGAGAGATAATGCATGTTGATATCAATTGACAATATCTTACGGTTTATCCAGCCTGTTTATTGAGTTTTACTCTCATTATGCATTAAAGAATCAAAGAATGCATGGGGTGGGATTCCTTACATAGAGATCCACAGAGCTCAATTGCCTAAGAATGGAACAGGCTGAAGATTTGAGTTGCATGCGGAAAGACGACACACAATTCATGGATTGGTAACAAAACTATTCACAAAGATTGACGAAGCACTGGAGGGTATAGACGGTGGAGATTTGAGAAAGTTTAAACAATTTGCAATCAGTTGAAGGAGAAGCAATGCAAGTTGAAAGAGAATGACGAGAATATTTTAGAAAGTTTGTACTATGCCGAGGAAAATGATGAAACATGCGATGAAGAAGCTGAAAGTGCCAGTGAGATTATGGAGAAAGTTTTATTCAGATTGGTTTGCTTAGCGAAAGCATTTGATGACCACTCCAGTTCAAAAGAGTCTACGTCAATAGAACAAAGCGTATCTCAAGAAAGTGTCTAGTCTAGCAGATCAAAGTTCGACCAAGCTCACGCAGCTCAAGCTCTAAACAGCTACAATGTCTGGGTGAAATTGCCTAGAATTAACTTGCAGGAATTTTCTGGAAAGGCTCAAGATTGGCAGGAGTTCTGGGACTCCTCAAAAGTGAAATTCCTGATTCATCTGCATTAGCAAAGTTTGACAAATTCAAATATTCGAAGTCATATCATTGGAGGCTTGTCATTAACAGACACGGATTATGCTTCTGCCATAGACAATTTAAAAAGTCGCTTTGCAAAGACAATTGTGATAAAGAAAGCCCATATAAACGAATTTCTAAACTTGTCGTCTGTTTTCAACAAGAAGAAGACCCCAAGAATGAGACAGCTGCACGATGATATCGAGACAAATGTTCGTAGTCTCAATGCTCTGGGTGTTGATCATGATTCCTATTGAGGCATTGTTGTTCCGGTTTTGTTGGAGAAGATTCCAGAGGCTGTGCGGCTAAACATGTTTAGATTTGGTAGCAATCATTTAGAGTGGATTATAGAAGATTTGTTACACGCGTTTACTAAGGGGCTGGAGATAAGAGAAAGCCACGTACCAGTTTTCAAATCCACAATGCGGAGATTGGCCTAGGTTGCAACATCACATGGAGCGAGTCAGCACAGCAAGTGTCATGGAAAGGACAATTGTAATGAATGCCAGTTCTGTCTAGGATCGCACGAAGCTGCGAACTGTGAGCGTTACGTAAACCCTGAAGAATTTAAAACTATTTTAATGAAATTTTCCTGGTGTTTTTTGTGCCTTAAGGACACTCTCTAGGCTAAAAACCAACAAAATTGAAAATTTTAATAAAAATTTTTTTTGTTGATTCCGTAGGCAAATTTATTATAGTTTCTCATACAAAACTTTTTGATGTAAAAAAATGCTACCCGCCGCTTATGCAGCCCCTTTTCTACCCCCTACCTTCCCTTCATATAGATGAAAACAGCTGTTTTGTGGATCGCCTCGTTGCATTTTTGTCAACCATCAGTTTCTCTCCAACGCGACGGCCTATAGCATCAAGGTATCATTTTGATCCTCATCCTCTCGTTAGTTTTGCCATTATCAAAATGCCTCATTTATTCCAGAAACCTTGCCGAAAAAGACAGTGAGATTGAACTAGCCTGTTCTCGATTGTTCTATTGCTACAAACAGTCTTAGCCAATCAAAAGGCCCCACTCGATTGATCGACCAATCACAATTTGCTTGTTTCTATAGAGAAAAGCTACTTTAATCCATCACCAAAGCTGACAACCGTTTACTTATCAGTTCATCGTTTAGTCTCAGACCAGATAATTGTTTCATAAGTTTACGATAGTTTTTCGTGTTTCTGCAACTGTGAGTTATTATGAATCCTGGAGATAAACGGAAATTTGCGAGCGTGAAAAGAAGCAAGAAAAAGTTCCGAGGTCGAAGGCCCAGTGAATCTATTGCTTCAACAAGTAAAGCACATGTTGATGTCGAGGAACGTGTTGAGGTAAGATATTTTTTTCATATTATTCAAGTTTATTGGATAAAATTGCAAGTAGTGCATGTTGTCTGATAAAAAACTCTTCTTCTCTAGGAAGAGGTCCAAGGTGCAAGTGCAAGAAAAGTACAAATTGACCTTGATAGAAAAAGCCAGAATCACTCAGAAGGATTTTGATTGAGAGATTTGTCAATTCTTCAGGGAATTTTTGATATGTCATCTGTGTGTGGTCGGTGTAAAGCGGGAAAATTATCAATCAAAGAAAACTTTGACCAAAAGATGGGCCTTGCTTCACTGCTTACAATTGAATGCAATACTTGCTCTAATGTTACACAAACATACACCTCAGAAACCTGTGCTACTTCAAGAGACTTTATTGTCAATCATAGTGCTGTGCTTGCAATGGGGATTGGGGATTGGGGGAAATTGGGGGTGGAAGAACTGCATTGCAAACTCTGTGTGCATTTTTGAATATGCCCACACCAATGACAGATCAAGTCTATAATACAACTTTAAAATCTGTCAAAGATGCACTTGAGCAAAAAGCCAGATTGTACCAGAAAGCTGCTTAAGAAAAGGGGGAAGGTGCTGCAATTGCTGAGTGTAAAGCCATGTTTGGTGGCACTTGGCGTAAGCGTGGCTTCTCCTCTTTACAAGGAGCAGTTACTTGTATTCCAGCTAAGGCAGGGAAATGTCTTGACTTTGAAACTTTAAACAAAGTTTGTTATGGCTGTGCCAGGTAGAAAAAGAAGCCAGATAGCCATGAAAAAGATAAGTGGCTGGCAGGTCACACATGCTAAATTAATTATACTGGGTCAGCCCCATCAATGGAGCCAGAGGGGGTAAAAAGAATCTACCAAAGATCTGAATCCCAAAACCATCTCCAATAGACTGGGTTCATAGGAGATGGTGATTCTAAATCTTACCCCTCCATTGCCAAGTTCAATCCTTATAATGGAAAGGATATAAAGAAATTCGAGTGTGTAGGACATATTCAAAAGCGGCTGGGTTGGGCACTTCGGAAGCTGAAAAACAAGTATGGAAGTAGCAAACTGTCAGATGGGAAGACAATAGGAGGCTATGGTAGGCTAACAGCTGACAGAATTGATAAGCTACAAACGTACTATGGCCTCTTTATTCGTAGATATAAAGAGTACTTGGAAGGCATGAAGAAAGAAGCATTGGCAGGACTCTATCACATTGCCCCTATAGATGAGAAGCCTCAACATCAGTTTTGTCCTAAGGGCCAAGACACTTGGTGTAAATTCCACCGGGCTGCACAGAAGGGTGAGACCTACCATCATGCAAAACCTTTGCCTGAGGCAGTCTTTGAGGTAGTGAAGCCTGTTTATGAAAGATTGACACAGGATAAGCTCCTCGAAGGTTGCCTTGGGGGGGGGGGGGTTCACACAGAATAGCTGTGAGTCCCTAAATCACCTTATTTGGGCAAGGTGTCCAAAGTCACTGGCCTCTGGAAGGAATCACTTGGATGCTGCATCTGCTGGTGCAGTCATTGTATTTAATGAAAAAAAACAAGCTCTTTGTGAAGTCTTCCAGAAGTTAGGTATTTCTCCAAGACGGAATACACAAGAACTTTTCCGTAAAACTGACAGGAAAGGAATAAAAGACAGTAACAGAAATGCCACTGAAATCCAAAAAAAGATAAGAAAAGGAAGAAGGAGTTCAAGGAAAGCATTGGAAGAGAGCAGCATCCAGCAAGAAGGAACAACCTATAGCCCTGGAGGGTTTTAGTAGAATGCTATAAACCTCTGTAGAACACTATAAACCTCTGTAGAATTTTGAAATGTTATTTTCCAAAAATCAGTTTTCGCCAAAACGCTCTTTCTTTTGGAAAGGCTTCTGAGCTCAATTTTAGGTTTAGAAAGATGAAAATTTCATATATAGCAGAGTTTTCATAGCTCTATGCAACTATAGAGAGAAAATTGACCTTTGAAACTGACTTTTCCTGTTATAAGCTTGTGGGAGTCAAAAAAATTTGTTAATACGCTTTTTGATTTTAACTTCCAATATTTAAAGATTAGAGGTAGGTAAATGCATTTTCTCTCTAAGAGTAAGTTTCATTGTAAGTATTGTGAAGGTAGACAGCATTATTTGCTTTGCCAGGATAAGGAACCCACTTGTAAGGAAGCCCAACCCAGCAGCACTGAGGGAGTTGCTAGTTGTTAGGCTGAGATTGAAGCCACTGAAGGAGAAGAAGCTTGGAGTCAAAACATTTGGGAGTAGTGAGCCAGAAATTGTGATGAGAAAGGTGTATGGTATCTAATTAGTTTCATTGAGTGGTGGTAAGGGCATTTTAATTGAAGCCAAATGATTGATGAAATCAGCACTGTTGCTAACTACCATATTGATGTTATTAATAATGCATATCCACAATTGATGAATATTGAGTTTTCAGATTTTTCAGATGAAGATTAACTTGAGATTGATGTCTTGATCGGTGCCAACTACTTGTGGAGTTTTCAAGATGGCCATGTGATAAGAGGGGGGCAAACTCCAGCCAGTGGCCATAGAAACAGCTCTTGGTTGGGTTATTTCTGAACCATTAGAGGGTAAGAATTCAGATCATTCTTCTTTTGTCAATTCTGTTTGCCATGTTATTGATCCCTTTCCATTGCCTGACAAAAATACTCCTGATATTGATAAAAATATGCATAAACTGTTGAAGATGAAGAGCATAAATCTGTCATTGTTTTTGTCCTGTTTCTAGTTTTCTTCATACAAGTTCTGGCAATATTTCTACTGGCATGTAGAAATTTATCAGATAGAATGTTTTCTGAGTTCTTCCTTACAGGTTTCCCTTTTCTTGGTGACACAGCATGGCCTATTTAAAAGGGTGACACAGCATGGCCTACAGCATGGGTGACACACCATATTCACTCCTACAGAGAAAAACATAAAAATATCCAAAGTCAACACCAGCTAGCTCCATCTGTAATAGAATTAGGTAGTAGTAGCGATGAGTTACTCTTATTTTGTAGTCAGCACCAAAAAAAACTTTTTATCTTCAGCCCATCCTTTAAAGAAAATAACATAATTATTTAGGCCTTGTTAAAAATTTTGACCAAACAAGCTACATCTGTAAAAGTTAAAAAAAAATCATGAGACATGGAAAATTTATTGTCCCTCTTCATGACTGTCGCTTTGGCGCTGCTCTAAGGAGCAATCAAAATGAATGAAACAGAAACATGTTCAGTCTCTCTTCATGACTATAGCTTGGGCGGTGGTCTAAGGACTGACCAAGACAGAACAGAAACATGTTTAGTCTCTTCTTGTGACTTTAGCAGATTGTGACAATGTTAGTGCTAGTTTTCGTCTTGAAGTCAACAAGTTTGGAAAGCTTGGTCGATGAAGGATCTTTTCAAAGTTGGTAAAGAATTTGCAAGCTTCGCTGCTTTGAAAGAGAGTTTGACAAAGTTTCAAGAGACGACTTTCCCACTTTTCTATGTGAAAGATTCAAGGACTATTGCCGCAGCTTGAAAACATACATCGGGCAAGGAGTTGTAGCCAGAGTTGAAGTGCTACTACCTTGTGTATGCTTGCATCGCAGGTGGAAATGAGTTTCTATTAAAATCAAATGGGAGGAGACCAAATCAAAGGTAAATGCTCTTTTTCGCTTTCTCGGTTGATTTTGTATTTATGATCACATTATCCCCAAACTGTATATCCCCAAAAAAGTCATTGTCTGAAGTATGAAACCCTACTCTGCGGCCTTGCAATGTGTTTCATAGGTTGATGTTGAGGCTATGGCAGTATTTTCATGGATTCTGATACAGATTAAACTGCTGATGGAAGATATCTTGTATTTTCTAGAAAATATCAGGTTGGAGGATTTATGTTGTAATATTTACAATGTGCTCAAATGACATTTTGTTTTTTTTTATTTTGTTTAGCACAAGATTGTCCAGCAGACATAAGGCTTTCAGTTGGCAGTATGCTGAAAGTGGTATCTTTTCAAGGGACACGTAATCATGAATGCAATGAGGTAAGGCAGATTTAAGGTATAATGCTCATTGTATATGGAACTACTTATTGCAACTGTTTAACAATAAACCAGCTAATTTTAAGAAACAACTGTTTGACTTTATGTTGGTTCTGGCAAATTTCAAGTACGTCGTCCAAAATTAATTGTTTCAATTTTACTTTGCAGGTTTCCTTTGCCCTTCTACCACAGCAACGAAGACTAGATGAAGCTGTAAAACTAATCAGTCTTCGATGCAACAAAAAAGTTTTGCAAGAACACCTTCAGGTGGCCACTGGAAAAATTGTAACTGGGCGAGACGTCTCAAATATAAGAGCAAAATTAAACACAAATTCTTCAAAAAATAACATCAAAGCTCTTGTAGAAAGCTACAGCAAAACGAAGGTTCGAACTATATTGTTCTTCTATTCACAACTAAGACAATGAATTTGTGGATCACCATGTTACTGTCTTCTTCAAATTGTGGAAATATCACTGTTGCAGATCGTCTGCCGCAGTCTTAAGATTATATGGGAACCAGGCTTAATCCCTTAATCAAAGAATCAAGGGGTTTGCCCACAAAATGACAATTGAAGTGAATTCTTTGACAATTTCCTAATAACTTTGTGATCCACCAAAATTGCCCAAGATCACAAGGCCATTACTTCAATGCAAAAAAGACCAGTGATACCTTATGAGCCACACACCACTGAAGAGTTCTATGTGAACTATCTCACTCCATATGCATTTACTTTTGTCCTTCAGCAGTTGGAAATGATGTCTAAAGAAGGACATAGAGGCATGCAAAAATGAAAATTCTAGAATTAAGACCAAGGCTTGACTGTTGAAAGTAACAAAGACATCATGTGAGTGTTCCTTTCGGACAGCTATGCTATTGTGGTGCAGACACATATTTACCATCCGTATGCTGATTGGGGATTTCTTTGTGTGCAACAAGATGGTCTGCAAGCTACTATCATTCAAAGCATCATGTTGCACAATCTTCAATTTAAGAAAGTTGTGAGGATGCTAATGTAATTATCAGTGCAGATGATAGTAATAATAATGCACTGATATTGTAACAAAGTCATAATTAAAGAAAAGCTTTTCAGCTTTGCAAAAAAATTGCTTCAATTGTTTCAGAGTCTCCAATGCATCAAGTTGAACAAAAGCTTTCATTGCTTTAAAGTGGATACAATTCATGGAATAGCAATGTTGAGATTGGAATTCAAACCCTGGCAAGTAAGTAATATATACCAGATATATAATAGACAACACAAAAAAATGTTGGCTTGTAAACTTGTGAATGTAAACTCGAGTTTTTTTATAGCAATAAATATAAAATATTGCCTGTATATGATATATGATATATAATATGAATTTATGTATTATTCTATGAGAGTTGAAGAATACAAAACTACCACTTCTACCTCTATAAGATTGCTTAGTGGTTAGATCACACATTTAAGGAGATGGATAGATAGTGTATACACAGTCTACAAATAAATATCTTCTCACTGCTTTGATTAAACATTCCTTGTTGAAGCTAGCCACCGCCATTATCAAAATTTGAACTTGTCTGCAAGGCTTGCACTATTGTTCTGAAGTGGCGTGTCGCATTATGACGCATTGCTAAAAAAACACGGTGCGCACGCAATGTGTCTAAAGGCGCTAACGTTATATGGGCAGCGGCAAAAAAACGCGTCTAGTGTGAATTCAGCTTAAACGTTGGGTTGTGGTGAAAATGCTTCGTTTGTCTTTGTTTCTTGTTCATTGATGTTCTTTATAATTGGCTTGTAGGGGTAGGGGTTTTTCACATCAACAGTAGGGGCTAATTGGATGGGGCTTATTAACAAAGGTGCATTTGAAAATATTATTATATGTTTCTGCATTTTTGTTTGCACTTAAATTTGATACTTTTTGGTGACTGGCAAAGGAAATGCCTAAGCTTTGTCATTTCCAGAGATATTTCAATTTTTTGTATCCACAACTCAATTATAAAAAACAAACAATTAAGGAAGCAAGGGTAGACACCATTAACACTTTTTCTGTCAGAACCATCATTATTATAATACTTCATTCTTAACTATTCACTTTTACTATATCTTAGGTGCAAGTGTGGTAATTGCAATTTGACTATACTTGCAAAACCAAAAGAGTGTTGCTGTTGCAGTGACCTTGAGGCTGTCAATGTTTGTCTTTCAGAGAAAAGAATTCTGGCAGATCTCAATGATGTACCCAAATGTGTAACTGAGTACCCAGCATTTGAGCCAGTAATTCTTGGAAAATGGTCACTGAGGCAGGCAGCAGATCGATACAGGACAAGATAAAAAAGCCATTATAAAAACACTGGTGATGAAAATAAGTATGTACAACATTTTTTGGATACTTATTATGTTTGCATACTTTTGTACATCAGTTATTATAGCACAAACTGAACAAAATTTAAATGTAAGGCTTATCTATTAAATCTATCTTGGCAATTTTTACAGAATTTAGCTTCACAAAGCTTTTTTGAATGTTTTCCAATTCATTACTTATTTATTATATGTGCATGTAAAGCACAATAAATCAGTTTGTGTTCATGCAATATTTTTAAAAATGTTGATTTCTGGACATAAACTAATAGTTTATTATTTTAAATCTTTTCTAGATTTCTTCGTGCTATCTCTTATAGAGAATTTACCAGGCTGGCGCATGGCAGAATAGGAAACAAAAGAATCCCTCTCCCAGCCTGTGCTTACAACAAAATCAGGCAGAAATTTCCTTCCAAAGAGATGACGACTGACTAGCTCACAAATGGTATTTGACATTTTAATCAAAGTTTGTTCTATATGATAAAGGTCTGCATTATCATTCAGACAAGGTAAGCTACTTCAACACTTTCCGATGATTTTGGGTCAATACAAAATGCAGAATTGAGTTCCTCATAGGGGCAAACTTGAAAGCAAAAAAGCAAACCACTTCTAAGATAGCTTTAGCAAAATGCACCTTTGTTTGACTCAGCTAAGGGATTTATTTATTGGTTTTTTTGGGCATTTAAAACAGTTTTTGTGACCTTTCATTGAGTTATGACAGATAGAACATCGAGGGGGTGCATATCGATTTTGCTGTTGTTTCTGGCTCACTACTTCATCAACTGAAAAGATAGAAAAAGAACCATTCATATATTTAAAGCTTTCGTTGATTGTAATGGTAAAATGGTAAAACTATGATTCAAATCTGCTTTAACAAATAAAGAAAATTTGGTACCTGATGTTGTTGAAGGAACTGGAACAGTCACTGCAGATATACGGGCAAAATGCTTTTCAATGGCAGCAAACCTATCTCCCTTTTCTATTGCTGAACACATTGGACCAGGAGCGAGTTTATTTAAATGTTCAACTGTAGCATTCAGGTTGTTAGCAGCTATGGCATCCACCAATGTCTCATAGATATCAGGAACTTAATCTATGTTTGGGTATACAATGTCAGTACTGCACTTATTGTGTTACATATTTTCAATGTTGATTCTTTCTTTTATTTGAGTTTATTCAATATCTTCAGACAATTAAATAAAATGAATATATAGAATTATATGCTAGTGATCTTTAAATGCCCATACCAAATCTCTGTTTCACTCTGACTTCCTTGACAGTTGCTTCTCCGTTCTTGAATTTTGGGTAGGTAGGTGACCTTAACTTGGGGTGTACCAGATCCATCCTGTGTTGTTTGTACATCGCAGTACAAGTTTAAATTGAAGTGAACAATTGCCAAACTATGTCTTAAAAGGATAGGAATATTAATGCAACAATAATGATCATGCCACTTTAACAATCTTAACAAATTCTTGAAAAGTGATATATGACAAGGATAAAAATATGTTTAATACAACCTACCTAATCAACATTCCTGTATAACTGAAAGCAATCATTTTTGGAGCACCGATTGGAAACCCTCTAATGCACTGGTCTGGGAAAGTGGAGATGCCTGTTTGATCCCATCTTGAAGGCTCTTCCTGGTCAAAGCCTGCCTCAGCTTTTCGTATACAGTTGTATCTGTCCAGTAGAGAGGTAGCGCATTTAAACATACAATATGTAAAGATGTGTCCAATCTTTTTATAATCTAACAGAAAAACAATTTGTCAATATAAGTATGCTATCTAAAATAGAAAGATTTTCCCTCCAAACAGTCAAAGTAACTTTTTTAGTATCTCATATGGAAGAGCCTAGTGTCTGTATTATATTCCTCTAAGAGAAAAGAGAAAACACTAAACCAAAACCATTTTTGACAAGTTTTCGGTATAAATTTTTCTAGGGAGACCAAACAAGACCAAATCAAACATTTACCTTTTTCTAGCCTGATTTACCTGATTCTACTGAGGGAAAGAAACATCATGTGACATTGTAGCAGTAGTCTGTGGTAGAAATTCAAATGGTAGTGACACAATTTGCAGAGTTTTTACTGGCAAGTTTGTAAGAGGGGAGTCTATTGTGGACCCCGTTGCAGTCCGTACAAACTTTGGATGACATTCCTAGAAATTTGCTATCTAGTGGTAATCTTGCAACAACTTATATTTTAAGAGTAGACTGTAGCAGTTTAATTGTTCCAGAAGAAACGGTCGAAATCTCGAAATTTTAAAGGTTGCAAAGGTTTGAAGAACTTTGCAAACTTGAAACATTAGGAATAAACGATATTAAAACTGTTGAAGAACAGTTTATAACTGAATTGAAATATGATAAAGATCATTATACGGTTTCTTTGCCGAGGAGCCAACACCAAAGGATGCCAGGACAACTAAGGTGTGCGTAGTAATGGATGGGAGCGCAAAAATATATGCTGAATCCCCAAGTTTAAGCGAATATTTACACGCAGGCCCTAGTTTCATGCCTAGCATTCTTGATATTCTGCTGAGATTCTGTAGTTATAAAGTCGCGCTAATTAGTTACGTGGAAAAGGCATTTCACATGATATGCGTCATTAAAGGGGATCAAGATGTTTTACGTTTTTTGTGGATAAATGATATCTGTAGCTTCAAAGCAAATCTGCTACTGAGGAGGGCACGAACTAATCAGAAATGAACCCAGTTTCCACTAAGCAAAAACAACGCTGGCGTTCTTTCTATCTTGATAATTGTTCGCTAAATGAAATAGTTGATAAAATTATACATAATTAATTAACGAGGTCTAAATGTAATGCAACTAAATGAAAATAACAACTTGAAGAAAAAAGCAACATAAACGATTACAGGTTAACCAAATTAATTTCAACTTACTATTTATTTGACCTCGTAGCATAGCATTATCTAAGCAACAGTACTACTAATATCGCACGTACTAATATCGATGTTGTTCTCTCTTCTTCCTGGGTAAAAACACGCCCAAAGCTTATATAGGGCTATAATGCAAATCCTCGAAGACACGCTTATAACGAGAAGAAATGTCACGTGTCCCCGAGGACATGCCTAAACAATGCTAAAAGTTTCTAATAATAGCAGGGTCAAAAGTCCAAAATAGTTCTACTGAAAAAAAAAACAACAACAAGTAAATAAGATTAAAAACAATCTGTTTTCTACATTCCCGCGCCCAAACAGGAAATTATAGAGACTGTTTTATTTCTGCCATTGATCCTGAATCTTCGACAGATGCCTCCAACAAACACAGTTTTGTTATAGGTCTTCGAAATTCCGAATTCAATGTCTTCACCTTTGCTGATCTCACCAGGCCATCTCTCCCAGCATAGATTTCAACTATCCTCCCTAAAGGCCACTGATTTCTATGCTGTGATTGATCCATAACCACTACCAAATCATTTTCCTTTAGGTTACGCTCAATTGAATGCCATTTCTGTCTTGTTTGCAGTGTAGGTAAGTATTCCTTTGTCCATCGTCTCCAAAATATGTCAGTCATGTATTGGACCTGCTTCCATCGTCTGGTACTGTAATGCTCTTTACCTTTGAAAACACCAGGAGGAAATTGTTGGCTAGATCTTAGAAGCAGCAAATGATTTGGTGTGATTGCATTCAAATCCTGAGGATCATCTGATACCTTGGTGAGTGGTCTCGCATTAAGTATCGCTTCAACTTCACATAGAAGTGTATGCAAACCTTCATCGTCGACCGTCTGATTTCTCAAAATCGCATTCAAAACACGCCTCACTGATCTTATTGCTCGTTCCCATACACCACCCATATGCGAAGCTGTTGGAGGGTTGAATATCCACTTGATGTCTTTCTGAAGAAGAAATTTGTGCACCTGGTTCTGATTCCATTGTTGAATTGCAGTTCTGAGTTCTCTTTCACCACTTCTGAAGTTTGGGCCATTGTCACACCTTATTTGCTCGGGACGTCCTCGTCTTGAAATGAATCTTCGTAAAGCATTTATAAATGAATCTGTATCCATACTGAAAACAATTTCGATGTGAATTGCTCTTATAGTGAGACAAGTGAATATAACTCCATACCTTTTTACCATGCACCTTCCTCTTTTGACCAGGTAGGGACCAAAACAGTCTATTCCAACGAATGAAAAAGGTGGTTTATCTGGTGTCACTCTATCTTCTGGCAAATCAGCCATTTTCTGCTTTCCCAAATTTCCGCATCGACGTTTGCAATCAAAACAACCTCTAATTATTCGTCGCACTGATATCCTTGCCTGAATGATCCAAAATCTTTCGCGTATACAGGCAAGGACATACTCTTGGCCAAAATGTCCAGATCGCAGGTGAAAATGTCGTATAATAAGATCACTTACATGATGTTGCTTGGGAAGAATAATCTGATGCTTTGCTTCATAACTGTTAAACGGAGCATTGCTAAGTCGGCCACCTACACTCATAACACCATTAATTATGACTGGATCTAATCTGCGAAGCGAACTTGATCTTCTTACTGATTTCTGGGGTGACTGCAGTAACTTCAAGTCTTCAGTAAAACATTCATTTTGTACACATTTCACTATTGCACATTCGGCGTCACGCAACTCTTCTGTACTCAGTCTGTAACTCTTGATTCCACTTTGTGTCTCATTGATACTTCTAATGTTCTGCAGTAACCAGTTCTTATATCTCAATAACCAAGCTACAGATTTCTTTAGAATGGTCCAATCAGAGAACTTCAAGAAAATCTGATTTGTCATACCTTTTGATGAGTTGATTTGCACTGAATTTGTTAGTACAACCTTTCTGACTTCGACGTCATCTTCAGTCAAATCTTCAATAAACACGCCCTTTGGCCACTCATTCTCTTCCTTTTGCAGAAATTTTGGGCCATATAACCATGTACGACTATTTATTAAACCGTCAGCACTGAGACCTCTGGATGCATCATCTGCTGGATTTAAACTTGTATCAACATATCGCCATTGAGATGGACTGGACCCATCGTGTATCACTGCAATTCTGTTCCCAACATATGTATGAAATCTTCTGCTTTCATTCGCTATATAGCGTAATACAGCAGTGCTATCTGTCCAAAATACCGACTCACCTAGTTTCATGTCCAATTCACGTTTGAGCATGCTATCCAACTTTACAGAAAGTGTTGCAGCAGTCAGCTCTAGCCTTGGGATTGTAATTCGTTTCAGGGGGGTTAGTCTTGACTTCGCAATAACAAATGAACGAGAAACTTCACCATCTTTGTTTACAGATCGCAGGTACGTTGCCACTCCATATCCAATTTCGGAGGCATCACTGAAATGATGCAGCTGATTTTTGACTGAATTGCTGATTCCTGAATTTGAATAACATCTTTTCACTTCAATGCGCTCCAATTTTGTTAGATCTTGCAACCAATTTTGCCATTCCTCGAGATTGCGACCAGTTACTTGCTCGTCCCAGCCTACATTTTCCATGCATAAACGCTGAAGAATTGTCTTTGCTGTCAAGATGAATGGCGAAATAAACCCAAGTGGATCATAAACAGATGTAATAATACTTAACATTCCTCTTCTGGTTCTTGATTTATCTTTCATGCTGATATTAAATGTGAAAGCATCTGTTTCTACATTCCACTGCAACCCAAGAGCTCTTTCAGTCGGGAGCTTGTCAGCCTCGAGATGAACATTTTTTAGTTCCTTTGATCTTTCATTTTCTGGTATTGCATCTATGACCTCTCGACAGTTGCTCATCCATTTTGTCAGATGGAATCCTCCTCTCGCCAGCAAATCGGTGAGCTGTTTTTGCATTATGATTGCTTTATTTGCATCCTTTGTAGCTTTGAGAAGATCATCCACATAAAAGTTTCTTTGCACTGTCTGAATCACTTCATCGTTGTAAAATCTGGAGTTATCTTCAGCAACTCTTCGCAAGGCAAACGTCGCACAGCTTGGAGACCATACCCCTCCAAATATGTGTACCATCATCTGATATTCCACAGGTTCCATCTTCAAATTGCCTCGTGGATACCATAGAAATCTCAATGCACTAACGTCATCAGAAGTCACACGTACTTGATGAAACATTGCTTCAACGTCCGCCATGAGGGCAATGGGTTCACTTCTAAATCTGCATAAGACACCAATGAGTGAGTTTGTCAAGTCAGGACCTTGAAGAACATTTTCATTCAAAGAAACATTCTTGTACTTTGCAGCACAGTCGAACACAATTCTGACTTTGTCTGGTTTCTTCGCATGCTTCACGCTATGGTGTGGCAGGTACCATAATTTGCCGTTGCTCACTTCTATTTCTGCTTCTGGAACTTGTCTGGCGTAATCCTTTTCAAGTAAATCGTCAATGAAATTGCTATATCGCTGTTTTAGATCTGGATCTCTTTCCAGCCGACATCTCAAGTATTCCAGCCTTTTCTGTGCCATTGGTCGATTATTTGGTATATTTGGAGGATTGTGCTTCCACGGAATTGCAATATGGTAATGGCCTTCGTGTAAACATACAGAATTCTCAAATACAGCAAGAGCTCTGGAATCTTCTACAGACATCATTTTCTTGTTATCAACAATTGACTCTTCAAACTCTTGATTGAAGTACTTCTTCAACTGATCATAAAGATGATTATCAGAGGAAACAGTATTGGAATGAAAGCAATGATTACCTTGTTTGGAAGAAACACCAATGGGTCCATTAAATGTCCAACCAAACATTGTCTTTACTGCATACGGACCACCATTTTCACTTTTTTGCACCTCTAGTGGCTGCAAAGCATTTGGTACATCCATGCCAATCAGCAAACTCACTACACCATCGTTAATAGTACCGGGTAACGTTATCCCTTCTAAGTGCGGCCATCTTTTGACATCTTCTTGACAAGCCAAAGCTGATGTTGGAATATTCAACATTTTTGTAGAAAATACATTAGGCATCTGAAGGTGCTTTGTTTCCTCAAGATCCATCACTTCCAAACTAACAACTGACGTCTGACAATATGTTTTTGAACCATTGATCGTAGCGACTGACAATTCACACTTTCTTCCAGTCACACCAAGTTTATCCAAGAGGGCTTCACTACAAAATGAGGCAGTAGATCCACTGTCAAGGAGTGCATATGTCTTAAATAATTTGTCACTTCCTGTCCCTTTTACCATTAATGGAACTATTGGTAATCCAACGTTGTCGCCTTCTTGATCGTTACATCGTGTTACTCCAACAAACTTATCATTGTCTGGACTCGAATCTCTTCTGCGAGCTTCGTTATCTGCATATTTTCCGCTTTCATCCTTACGCCGTTTCTCGTATGCCACCACAGAGTCATGTATTCCTGTCAAATGTTTGCGTCGTAGATTACATTCTGGCACTGTACAGGCTTTTCTTTGTTTGCAACCAGCGGAGAAGTGAAATGATGATAGACAATTATCACAGAGCTTCTTTGAACGAATGAAATTAAACTGTTCCTCACCAGATTTCTTCTTGAATTCCACGCAACTTGCCAATTTATGGTTTCTCTCACAGAAATAACATCGCACATCTGGTGAAGTGACATTTGGCTTCTTGTCATAAGTCTGAATACTGTAATTCAAGCTTCGCTGCGGATATGTCGCATTTGATCTTCTGTTCTTGTCATTTCGTGATGACTGTTCCCTGTTAACATTGTCCATGATAGCACCAAAAACGGGGTCGTTCTTTTCCTTTGATATTGTTCTGATCAAGCACCGTACATCTTCAACTGTAGGCTCTCTATGATACGATCTGATCTCCTGGACACGAGATTGCCAACGGGACTTCACAAAGTTTGGACATCGCTCTAGGACTTTCACCAATCGGTCTTCATTGTTTAGCTGTGTCAATCTGCCTGCAGCCTTCAGAGTCATCTCGCAGTTCTCGAGGTCATCTGCTAATTCTTGCAAGCCTTCTCTGTCACCAGGCTTTATCACAGGACCACAGGATACTTTCTTTAACCACGAGTCTGATACAGTATATGCATCACCAAAGCGTTCAGCCAAGATTTGTTTTGCCTTCAAATATCCATCCCGAGGTTCGAGAAGAATACATCCTTCTATTGCTCTTCTTGCTTTGCCTGTACAAAACTGAACTAAAAGCTGCAACCGTTTGCTAAAATCACAAGTGTCATTCTCAACATTATTCTGAAAAGATCGTATGAAAAGAAAATACTTCAAGGGGTTGCCATCGAACATACTGATTTCAGATTTTGGTAAAAGTGCAGCAACTGCTAATTTCTTCATTGTCTCAAGGTAATCTTCGCCATTTAATGTCGGGTTGGCACATGTTTCATCAGTAAAATCTTGTTGCAGGGGTGACTTCCAAGGTGGAGCATGTGGGTTCAACTGACGTTCTTGTTGGGGATAGCCAAATTCTGAAAATTGTTTAAATGTTTGCTCACCTATGATTCCTGTTTTTGTTGGCTTCCTTTGTACTTGTGAGCCGAATTCCATATTTTGACTTTTTCTTAACTCGCCTCTAATTTGCTGACACGTGTTCTTAGATCCCACGTCTCTTGGTAATTGACCATACGCCTCGTCTTGTGATCCGGTTGCCATGGCGAAACCTGTGTAAACTTTTTCTTCAGCCTCGATTTTTGCAAGTTTCATGTCTAGCGCCAGCCTCTTCTTTCTTTGACTTAATCGTAGTTCTTCATGAGCAATGTTTTGACACTCTTCAAATGTTGACGCCTCTGCAAGCAAGGATGCCTTTGTTACAGCATTCTTCAACATCATATCCTGAAGGGTAGATCTGCTCGATTTCT